ACAGTGGCTTAAATTGATGTCTTGAGGAGGATGAAGTGGGTCATGTTCTCTGAGTACTTTCTTGTACTCTGTCCATCAGCTCGATGCGGATCGATTGAGGACTTGTTGCACGAAGAGTCTCTGCTTTTCATGAGAAGAACTGAGCTCCCTGTCAGAGAGTTTCAAATGAATTTTGACTTAGCGAATAAGCTAGTTGTTCTTTGAGAAAGTCGCAATGTTTTTCTTTCACGTCAGTGAAATAAATGACAAAGGAGTGTCAGTTTCTATCATTTCACTGTTGTTTCAGTTTGTCACAATAAGTTTTTTTTTCTCATGGTGTCGAAAAGATGGTGGGTATTATTTGATTACTGATAAGCCAGAACTTCTTGATGTAACCACCTTGTGTTCTGCAAGTAACCCATAGACTTTATAGAATCATGATCTCAATTTCTATATCACGATAATCCCCATGCAATCAAAGTTGCAAATCTGTAACTCCGTATGCTTGGTGAACAGAGAAATAATGAAAATTAATTTCGAATGGCAATTGGTCAGAAACAATTCTCTGTTCAATTATTTCTCTGTTCACCAAGCATACGGAGTTACAGATTTGCAACTTTGATTGCATGGGGATTATCGTGATATAGAAATTGAGATCATGATTCTATAAAGTCTATGGGTTACTTGCAGAACACAAGGTGGTTACATCAAGAAGTTCTGGCTTATCAGTAATCAAATAATACCCACCATCTTTTCGACACCATGAGAAAAAAAAACTTATTGTGACAAACTGAAACAACAGTGAAATGATAGAAACTGACACTCCTTTGTCATTTATTTCACTGACGTGAAAGAAAAACATTGCGACTTTCTCAAAGAACAACTAGCTTATTCGCTAAGTCAAAATTCATTTGAAACTCTCTGACAGGGAGCTCAGTTCTTCTCATGAAAAGCAGAGACTCTTCGTGCAACAAGTCCTCAATCGATCCGCATCGAGCTGATGGACAGAGTACAAGAAAGTACTCAGAGAACATGACCCACTTCATCCTCCTCAAGACATCAATTTAAGCCACTGTAACTCTACATGGTCGGCATGAATGGAGCTTTCAACTTCATCAACTCCGCGGAGGTGATTTTGAAAGCCTGGAGGAGAACCTCGTCCTCAATACCAGAACCAAAGATGTTCCTGGGCAACGAGATGGTGCCGGCGTTGGAGCTACCGAAAGCAGAGATGGCCAGAACACTCTTCTCCTTGGACATGTTGATCTGAAAGTGCACAAGATCCTGAGGGAACACGAACAAGTCACCTTCATGGAGATGGGCGGAGTACAGCTTGTTGGCAGAGTCGATGAGGCCGACGTCCAAGTGTCCAGCCAATATGTAAATGAGCTCTGATCCACGGGGGTGAGTGTGGGGAGGGTTCAGAGTGTTGGGCTTGTACTCGAGGAGGGTCACACCGACGCCGAGTCCAGTGAGAGCGGGGAATTCGACCTGTGTAACCTTCTTGGAGCTGAAGGTGTTTGGAACAGCGGAGAAGTTTCTGAGTCCTGTGAATGTGAAGAAATCTCCAGTGATCATGGATGCGCTCATTCCTACTGGGACGGCGAAATCGGTTGTGAGCTCGGGGTCACGGGCGCAGACGGCAACTATCGTTGTCATCATAAGGACAAGGACCAGCTTCATGTTGGCCATGATTTCCAAAAGATTTCGAGCTGTAGATCTGCAAGCCAACATGTCCGCAGTGAATCTTCCCAAGCATTACATTGAACATGCATCACATTTTCAAAGATATGATCTGATCGATCTGAAACCAGGATCCCAACACAATTCTAACCTTGACATATTGAAGATTATCCGCAACGTCTAGAGAAGTGCTAATGAAAGTGCACAGATGTTCGTATTCATTACGAGAAAGAAGCAACCAAAATTTAAGACACTGGGAAGAACTTACTTTCACAGATGTAAGAGCAGGTCAGTAGTTCCCTTCGCTGAGTTCCGGTTATGTCATGCTAAAAGCCTCTTTATATACCCGAGAATCTTCTGTACTGCTTTTGGCTGTTTCCCCATGGAACTCATATAGGGACCATCATGTAAGCTTTCAAGCCTGTAGCTGCGGCGCGTGGCGAAGTGGCGAAAGCAACATCTGATTTGCCACTGATAATCTCATCCAGCTCAAGCACAAGCAAACTAAGTCTTTCTGAAAAGTACTACACTATTTGTCCTAACTCCTCACTTGATGATGATGTATGTATCGGTTGTTGTACCGGTTCGTCCATCCCAGTACATATGAATTTGCCTGTATACTGCATTCCCAACTATCAAATTGTGGGCTGAAGTCGAATCATTCTAACTACGACTAGGAACAACAGTATCACTGCGGTTTGCACGACCCTAAGTTATGTGACAGGAGGTGCATTTCTTTCAAATGGAAAGTTCAAAAGACGAAAATTAGCTCATGATATCGCGAATCCAACAGTATGGGACAACAATAGTTATTCATTCTTGTCTTACTTACTGTCTTACAGTTGCCTACTGATCGTTCTCGCAACACACGTCACCTTTTCATGTGGACCTTCGACAGATTATACAGGGATGAAAACGAAAACACCTCCATCATCACATGCAGGGAAGATCCAGAACTTCCAGTCTCACCGTAGAAGACTTTGGCACCAAATTTCCGTTGAATGATGCTCTGTCCAGCTGGATGGTACAATATGGGTCACAAGGATGGACTGTTGCCCTGCATTTTGGGTGGCACAGAAATACCGTAACATTACTAACATTCGCAATTAATGCATCAAAGTGCTCTAAGTGGACTTCATAAACGAGGATCCAGCTGAAAAACATTTATCGAGTGCCTATCAATAAATGCTCTATGACAGAGAATGAAGAGTAATGCGATTTGAACTGAGGCGAACATTTAGTTCGTCAGCGGCATGTACCCAGCACCGCAACTTTTGTCATCTTGAAAAGAAAATCTAGATATGAGTAAAAATGGAGAACGGAGGACAAGTAGACAGTCTTGCGGAGTAGTGCAAACCTACTGTGTTTGAGATTCTTGAACAAACAAAAATGAACAGACTAATCATTGAGCAATCCTCAACCAGATGAACCTAGGCATCTAGGGAACTGTTAACATCTAGGAAGCCAGGAATGCATCTTCTACCACACCGAGATTACATTTTTAAAAAAGTGCCAAATAGTTGGGCTAGTCTGTGCATGGCTCACTCATGCTCTACTGGTGCCCATGTCCGATTCATTCAAGAGTGTGTGTGATGAGTCAACCCTGAAACGCCAAATTAAAATGAGAAGATCTCCATGTGCTGAGCTTGTGTTCTCAGTAATCATACACAGGCCCTTGGGGAACGGCCTGTCGTGTCGTGTGGCGGCGTGCAAGATCCACTGACCGATCTCGTTTCTCACACGTTCAGAGAATACGTCCCTTGATAACACTCATGTGTCGAGGTGCCAAGCAAGTGGTTCGCCCAAATCCAACTTCTCCTCTACATATTTGGCCAGCTTGGAGGTCCATTGGAACGGCACAACTTTATATACGTAGGCTACATCACTGAATTGTCCTCGACGTCTGCAAGGTCCAGTTAGTAGTCTAGTACATTGATGGGTTTCGTCTGGTCTGGGGACGGTGAGCCATTGAGCCTTGACAATAAGCGAGTCTCAATTTCCACGTCTTTGAAGCATTCATACCTGATACTTTCTTTGTAGTCATCGAGTTGAAGCTCTCCACTGGATGGACCTTGTAAGGCAGAGATTGCAGCTCCGAGCAATGTCCAGCATTCACTATGCATGCTTAGGAGAAACTTGACTGCGGAATTACGTAGATTGTTAACCTTCCCCGAAATGTATACCAAATAGTCATTTGTTTCTCGTTCTTGTTTGAATCAATTTGCAGGACTCCAACTATTTATCGTAAGAATTAGTCCACAAGCTCGAGAATCGACTTGAAAAGCATAGGATGTAATCGTCTGTATTTTGTGCAGTAACGAAAGTGGAAAAGAATTCAGACTATGGGACCTATATGTAATTCGCAATGCTAGCCATGAGATTTCAGAATCATTGATTCCCGATTGTAGATTGCAGCACTTGCTATTTAGCTCATCGGTTCCCCCCACCGTCACTCTGCATGTCATGTGATATTAATTAGACTTCGAAACGGGGCTTTCTTACTAAAAGTTTCACTGCGAATAGGAGAACTGCAACAGCAGCGCTAAAATTCCTGCTACAAAAGCAGAACGTTCAGAAAGGGAAGAATCTATTTGTTAATTGTTCAAAAGTTCGACCATAGTTAGAGATGTAATTTAGAGTGTCTTCTATGAGTACTAATAAATGGTTCTAAAATGAAGCCTGATGGCACGAAGTTCTGCTGGTTGTCTTCAGTAAGCATCACACGAAAATGACTACTTCGAATCATGAAACAAGTAAACAATCAGCGTTACTTGACATCACGTGAATGTGTACATCATCAGTACAAAGTACTTTGAAGAAACTAAATGCATCCGCCGATACATAGCGGTCAAGAAATTGTTTTGCTAAGAGAAGAGTCTACCCTCGTTCATTGTCTTCTGTAAATGAGTGGGAATTTGCTGTAACATTTTCCCTCAGAGGTAACACGGATGCCGAACTTGTATGAGAGAATTGGATTCAGCAACATTCATAACTCACGCAGATCTTTTTCTCATAACACAGAACTTTGTGGGAAGAGGAATTTTTCACAGTAAGTCGGACTCGTTGATATTTACATCTTTGAATTGTCATGACATTGTACATTTTCTTTCACCGACCCATATGGGGATTTCTAATGGAATCCCCCTGCACAGCTAATTCTCTACTTTCTGCTATTGTCGTGAATCCCACAATCCATGGGCTCCATGACGTTCGAATTTACTCTGCAGTCCTACCTATCGTGACAAAATTGTTTTGGTGATTCAAGATCTAGGAGTATCACCAATGCTTTCTTCTAATAAATGGCCACTACTCAGTGGCCCGAAGTTATGATGACTGAGGTGACCAGGATTTCAGAACAAAACTCCGGCAGAATTACTGCCGACGGGCACCATCGGTGTCACTGCTGGTCTCCTTCCGAGTAGCACTGCGATCTTTTGCTGGAAGATGGTAGCATCTTCACGTTGCTCAACAGGTAAGCGCAGCGTTTGCTCGATGGACCTCTCGACTGCAGCATAATAGCCAGCGCAGTTTCTGTACACCTCAATCACAGCGCCCATCTGAAGAGCGTGTGTGAACGTATGCACGAACAGGGAGCTCACGGTAACTGCTGCAGCTACAGCTGGACAGCCAGCCATGTTCAAAACAACAACCGCTGTAGCGAGCATAGGAGAGGTGATCGACAAAATCAGGTTGAGACCCTTGGCATCGTTGGCCATACTTGTGTATTCTGGAACGTCAACAGCTTAAAGCTTAGTTTTTCTTGAAAAATATAATTTTTCTTGAAAATCTTGACAGGTTTTCTTGCATTGACCTCGTTGAAAATCTGCATTCAATACCAAGCGTCATCTCAAAACTTTAGAACTGTTCCACACACAAAAAGATAGAATACGACGAATGTCGTATACAATATATATTCGTACATATATGTGTAACTTTATAAGCAGCAGGAGTTCCCAACCCACAACATCATTATCCATCCCCGTACAACACCGACCGAGGACTAGCTCATAAGCGTACAGCATCTCATCTCCCGATCAAACCCCGAAATCCAATTCTTTGCCTCTGCGGTGAATTTCCAAGGGCCACCAGAAATACATCACAGCAATGGCGGTTTTCGCTGTTTCCTGTGTCTTATCGGTGGATAGTAGTTCGCTTGTTCTTCGCAGACTAGGGCATACAAAATTGCACTCCCAAGATCGACATCGCAGTGCGCACATCCGTCCTTCCAACAGACGCACACTCATCAGAGCCGGTTTAGCTTTGACGAAGGAGAAAGTAGTTGACGCTGGCAAGGTAAAATTTATCCATGACAGGGTTGCCGATTACTCAAAGGGCTGGACAAATGTTAATGGTCTGCCAGACCAGCGTGTTGTCAGTCAATTCGAAGCCCTCTCAGTGTTGGTGTCGGACAGGGTCGAGATGCACTCAATTCTCGCGCTGCAACGGGACAACTGGAACCGACTCTTCCACAATACCATCACCATGGCCTCCGCTGCTGCTGCCATCGCCTCGGCCGTTAACGGCGCTTTACCCGCTTCCGGGTTACAGGTCGTGGCGATTGTTCTTGGTATGGGAGCAGCTGCGCTCATGGCGCTCGTGAGCAAATTCCAGCCATCACAGCTTGCTGAAGAGCAAAGACATGCTGCTCGCTTCTTCAAGCGATTGGGAGCTGATATAGAGGCCACTTTACAGGTTGATCCGCGACTGCGCGGAGAAGCATCTATCTATTGGGAGCAGTCGATCGCCACCGCGCATGCTCTAGACCGAGCTTTTCCCCTGCCACTCACGCCCATTGTGGTGGAAAAGTTCCCCAAGCAAGTGCATCCATCGAAGATCAGTGGCGATGTAGATCTCGCTCGACCTGAGGTTGAAGTGTCACCAAATTCTCACCAAAATGGATGGACATGGTCTGCAGTGGAAGACCTCAGGCACACGGCTGAACTTCTGCGCACGTCCGACGTTCCAGAATACACAAGTATGGCCAACGATGCCAAGGGTCTCAACCTGATTTTGTCGATCACCTCTCCTATGCTCGCTACAGCGGGTGTTGTTTTGAACATGGCTGGCTGTCCAGCTGTAGCTGCAGCAGTTACCGTGAGCTCCCTGTTCGTGCATACGTTCACACACGCTCTTCAGATGGGCGCTGTGATTGAGGTGTACAGAAACTGCGCTGGCTATTATGCTGCAGTCGAGAGGTCCATCGAGCAAACGCTGCGCTTACCTGTTGAGCAACGTGAAGATGCTACCATCTTCCAGCAAAAGATCGCAGTGCTACTCGGAAGGAGACCAGCAGTGACACCGATGGTGCCCGTCGGCAGTAATTCTGCCGGAGTTTTGTTCTGAAATCCTGGTCATCTCAGTCATCATAACTTCGGGCCACTGAGTAGTGGCCATTTATTAGAAGAAAGCATTGGTGATACTCCTAGATCTTGAATCACCAAAACAATTTTGTCACGATAGGTAGGACTGCAGAGTAAATTCGAACGTCATGGAGCCCATGGATTGTGGGATTCACGACAATAGCAGAAAGTAGAGAATTAGCTGTGCAGGGGGATTCCATTAGAAATCCCCATATGGGTCGGTGAAAGAAAATGTACAATGTCATGACAATTCAAAGATGTAAATATCAACGAGTCCGACTTACTGTGAAAAATTCCTCTTCCCACAAAGTTCTGTGTTATGAGAAAAAGATCTGCGTGAGTTATGAATGTTGCTGAATCCAATTCTCTCATACAAGTTCGGCATCCGTGTTAGGGGTTTTAATCCTTTTAAAAATATTAAATATTTCTTGCATTGACCTCGTTGAAAATCTGCATTCAATACCAAGATTTTCAAGAAAAATTTTCAAGATTTTCAAGAAAACCTGTCAAGATTAATATTTTTAAAAGGATTACTGATGTACTTCAATCTTCTTTGGTGGAAATCTTCAATTTTTCTAGCTTAAGCTTATTAAATCATGGCCTGCAGACTGATATTTGAATTTGTGGAATATGTTAGAAGACGGCTTGGAATTTCATCCATTCTAACAAATTTCACTTCGGACATGTTGGCCTGCAGATCTACAGCTCGAACTCGTTAAGGAATTATGGCCACCATGAAGCTGATACTTGTCCTTATGATGACAACCGTCGTTGCCGTCTGCGCCATTGACCCCGAGCTCACAACCGACTTCGCCGTCCCAGAAGGAATGAACGCCTCCATGATCACTGGAGATTTCTTCACATTCACAGGCCTCAGAGACTTCTCCGCTGCTCCAAGCACCTTCGGCTCCAAGAAGTTTACGCATGTCGAATTCTCCGCTCTCACTGGACTCGGCGTCGGTGTGACCCTTCTCGAGTACAAGCCCAAGACTATGAACCCTCCCCACACTCATCCCCGTGGATCAGAGCTCATATATGTCTTGGCTGGACACTTGGACGTCGGCCTCATCGACTCTGCCAACAAGCTGTACTCCGCCCATCTCCATGTGGGTGACTTGTTCGTGTTCCCTCAGGGTCTTGTCCACTTCCAGATCAACATGTCCAAGAAGAAGACTGTTCGCGCCATCTCTGCTTTCGGTAGCTCCAACGCTGGCACCATTTCCTTGCCCAGGAACATTTTTGGTCCTGGAATTGATGACGAGGTTCACCTCAAGGCTTTCAAGATCACTTCCGCGGAGTTGATGAAACTGAAAGCTCCATTCATGCCGACCATGTAGATTCACAGTTGCAAGAACTGAGGTCTCCAGGATGATATAGTTCGTAGTGCATGCTCTGTACCTTCTTACACTCATTTCTGCCCATTTGCTTGGTGAGATTAACTTGAGAAATTCTTTCATGAATAGTTGCAGAAATTAACAGAAGAGGTGTGCTGCCCGTGAGCGAATTTATAATGAATTTAGACTTTACGAATTTTATAGATCAATACATGTTGGGAAACGCTTCCAGGTTGTATACATGTTCGAATTACCTCTTTCAAATAAACGGACAAACATTTGTTCCGGTTGTTTCTTTTCACTGCCGTTTCAATTTGTGACAACGAGTTTCGTTTCACATGGTGTTGAAAGACTGCTGTTATTTAAAACACTTTAAAACTGAGTATTCTGATGTACCACATCGTTTTCTGCAAGCTACTTACAGCCATTATAGGAACCATTGTTTTCCTCATATTTTATGTAGATGCATGGTGTATTATCTCTGTATCTTGATAATCTCTTTGCAGCCAAGTTTGCCATTCTGGGGGTTGAACACGTATGAAGCTCCGTTTATGTAGAGAACAGAAACAAGTGAATTTTATGAGCTAGTGTGAGTAAAAAATGTCATACTTTGTATACACCTTGCAGTAATTCTGTATGACCATGGTTACTTTCGGAGTTTAGATCACACTTTTGGGCTGATGACATACACTAGAGTCTGAACATAGTTTTACGCATTGCCTGGCTAGAAGTAATGCAACTAATGCAACTAATTCATTTTTTTATATATATTATTAGTATATAGCACTTACATACATAATAAGAGTGACGAAGAAGAGATATACAACTTGCTATGTAGCTCGAGAAGCTATTCGGAATCGTCTATTTCAGACTTCTTGAATTATACTATGAACTTTCCAGTGCGATGTGTGAAAAACTATTCCCGGAGGCAGTTGACTTTACTCATAGTCAAATGGAGCGATATTCCTGTACAGATTGTCTTTTAGAGAGTCAAAAAACCGTCAAGGACCAGGTGCAGACCAGCTTTCTCCCATGTATTGCGCCGCGATCCAGGATTGACTTGGTCGTCAAAGTCCCACCGTTGCATAACATGCCTTTGTAAGCAGAACTCCACAATTTCGGCAAAGACGAGAAGAACATCAATCAGGAGTAGCTGTCGATCATATAAGCGCTAAGCCTTTCAAATTACAAGTCTCGTGGTCGATTATCTTCTAAATTCCAGCTGCGGAATAAAGTCCGGATCCTCCTACATTAGTGGCAGGGATTGATTTGTTCTAGTGCCTTAGATTTGGATCAGAACACACAAGTACCTGGAAGATTTTCGGGCATAAAATTGAATTCCAAAGCAAACACAAGAATGCTTACATTTCTTCGAAGTTCGAAGGACGTATCAGAACTGTCACCGCACCTTCAGAATACAGAAGAGAGGTGATGATTACAGTGAATCAATTTATTACCTTGACACAGATTTCAGCAAAGGGCTAACGGGATGCCAATCGAGAGACCTCTCAGTCAAATCCAGGAACTCTCTGTAATTCATTCCGACACGACAGAGATGAATTCCACTCTTGCGATGCAATGTGACAACTGGAATGTCTCTTTCAGTCCACATTGACCATGGCATCGGACACTACTGCCATAGCGTCGCTTCTCCATGCCCGCTACCGGTTTGCAGATTGTCTAATCATTCTCGGACTTGGAATTGGAGCAGCTGAGATTATGGTCCTCTTGAGCAGCTTCTCACCGTCGCAGCTCGTGAAAGAGCAGCGTAATGCTGCTCGGGTGTTCAAGCGAATGGGAGCTAATGTCGAAGTCGTGTAGCAGTGAGCACACTCTGACACACGCACTTCAGAAGTATGCTGTGTTTGCGATGTACAGACTCTGAGCTGGCTTTCACGCAGAGAAGTAAATTAAGCAGGTTCATCGGTAACCGCTTCAACAGCTTAAAGATGCTACTACGGTTCAGCAAAAGATTTCGATATTGCTGGGGGGACACCAACAGTGACTCCAAGGGTGCCAACCGCTGATTTAGGGAGGTCATTCGTCCGGTCATTGGCCGGGAGTCAGAGCGAAAGAGCGATTGCAAGAGTCGATCGCGCCCACTCATCCGCTCATCGGGCTGCCTCCCGGATCCTTCCTCCCGTTCCGCTGCTGTGCGTGCATGAAAACTCGGCTCGTAGCCCCTTGGTCTAGCTCAGCTCCCATAGTCTGGTACAAACCCTGGACAGCCATGAGCATGCGCGGTGGCGATCGACTGCTCCCAGTAGATAGATGCTTCTCCGCGCAGTTGCGGAGCAACCTGTAAGGTGGCCTCCACATCAGCTCCCAGTCGCTTGAAGAAGCGAGAAGCATGCCGGTGCTCTTCAGCAAGCTGCGACGTCTGGAATTTGCTCACGAGCGCCATGAGGGCAGCTGCTCCCATACCAAGAACAACCACCACGACCTGTAACCCGGAAGCGGGTACAGCGCCATTGACAGGTACAATTGTAGGTGTTCAGTATAAAAACCGGAGCTTCTCTCTCGAGAATGTAATAAATCACATCAACTAAATGTTCAGGTCGAAATTTACCTGGCAAAAGAGGAATGCATTGAAGATCATGCACACAAGAATCTCGTGTGCTTTGTCATATTCTTCTTTATCGGTGCCCGTATGTGAAAACAGAAACTTATTCCCAATATGTGTTGAGGCTCTGCAAAATTGGAATAACAGGTTAATGCCCAAATTAGAAAGCAGAAGGCTACGCAATTCATTCCATCCATCTTCAGTTTAGAACTAACCTTAAAGTATACGAAGGCAAAATTAACGTTACCTGGCCAGATATAAATCGCCACATGATATTAAAGATCAGTCTCTCATCGAGGTCCATCGTATTTGAATGCGATTTCGTTCAAATAGGATGCGAAGTCAAAATCTGGCTGCTTGTCCAAATTTTCGCAGTCGACGTCTAACGCCGGAAGTTCTTCGTTTTTTTTCAAACCTTTGACTTGTAGAGGTATGAAAAAATCTTGAGTTTCATCGATGACGGAATGAGTGTGCAATGGTGGAAGTTCTTCAATGTCTTTATCTGGAAAGTTTATAAACGGCTCTTGAAGCAAGCTAGCATCGTTCGAACCCGTGTACAATGCTTCGAAATTTTCACATAAATTTGTTTCAACTTTCAGCGGCTGAGGCTGTAACACAACAACATATCGTATAAGTCATAGGTACATTCGAATATACAAATAAAATTTACCACAAACACAAAATCTGTAACCAAAATGATAAAAAATAAACCAGGTGATAACTCACAGGTATCTCATAAGCTTCAGAAACTTGAGGATATGGATCTGTTCTTGAGAACAAAGTTCGAGGAGGTACAGAGAACAATGGCGTAAATACGGCGTTCTGATTAGACTTAGGGGCTAATTGGGAACTTTGCAAATTGAAGTGAGCATTAGGCCCGAAGAATTGTAAAGCTTTCCGGTCGTAAGCCGCTGCAGCTTCCTCTTTGGTGTTGAACGTACCCAACCACACTCTACTTCTTTTCCCTGGATCCCGTATCTCAGCTACCCATTTGCCCCAAGTCCGTTGGCGCACTCCCTTGTACTCGCACGAAAAGTTTTCGGGCCCCCCCTTGCCTCTCGAAGAAGCTTTGCTCCACTTTTTGGGAAGACCTGTCTCACCTTTGCCTAGCCTTTTGTTCATTCTGCACATCTCAAAGATCCAAAACAATGGTCAAAGTCGAGAACAATGGTCAAACATGAAACAAGACGGGTCGGAATCTGTTTTGACTCCCATCCGCGCACGAGATTGATTTCAACGCTTCCCCACACCTGTGTCGGATCTATCTTAATAAGAGCGATACTTCTCAGACTGGTGGATATGCTAACAGTAAAGTTATCTGCGTTTCTCTTTTCCAACATCCAAGGACTATGAAACAACATCCCTATTAGTTTCCAGTAAAAGATGCCTGAGGTTCCCGCTTCCCATCCTAAATATATGCGCCGCCTCCTCTCTCACTGCTCGATATAATGCTGACAGGTGACAGGTGTTCACGATTTTCGTGAACACGTGTCAGCGAGCAGGTGTTCACGATTTTTTTTATCTATCTAAATCTCGAGGGTAGTTGGAGTTGGAGACCTGCAATTTGCAGGTCTCCAACTCCAGGTCTCATCCAGGTCTCCCTCGAGATTTAAGGGAAGGTACTTCCCTTAAATCAATTGGCACCATTCTCTGCCGGAATGGTGCCAATTGCCACCCGCTGCCGGTGGTCTGGGGGTTGGAATTATTCGCTAGGAGGGAGGAACCTTTTCGCTGCGGGCGGGGAGACCGGCCTGGGCGAAAATTTCGCGAAGGGAGCTATTTCCCGGGTCCCGAGCGCGGTAGAGTTGTTGGCGTCGTTTGGAGGGCGTCTAGAGTTGCGGGGCCAATAGTGTTCGGGGGTGGTGAGGGTGAGTGAAGCGAAAAGTTAGCGAAATGTTTGTCGAGGAAGCGAAGGGAGACTGGTAGGCGCGTGCAGGAGGAACGTTAGTGTTTTGCGCACGGTCTCGTGGTGGCGCGACGTGGAACCGAGTCGAGGGACGCGATGATCGGAGGATATTTGTCACGGTCGAAAATAAGAATGGCATGGGGGCAAACCTACCGCTACCGGTGCCCCTGCCCCTGCCCCGCTCGGCCCGTGCATCCTGCCCGCCCAGCCCCTTACCACACAGAGTTCGCTCCACCTCGACTCCACACGAACCACGTAGGCGTGTGCTAACCACGCTGCTGGCATGGGAGCGGGCACCGCTGGCTCTGCACGTCCGGCTTCCGGACACACTCCCGCCAGTTTCTCGGCCCTGCTAAACTTGGCCCATGCATCGCTTGCCCGCCGGCGCGACCGGCTGGCGGGCCTGTTTCTGCCCCTGCGGCCTCGCCTTCCTGTAGCCAGCCTGCCGCTGCACTCTGTCTGCGACTTCTCGTTACCCCACCCCCAGCCCCACCCCCAACCCCAACCCCCATCCTGTACCGCATTCTGGTGCTACACTGTCCACGACATGGTGTTCTGTGCCGAACCATGTTACTGCGTCCGAAACTAGCTCCACATTTGAATTTTCAACCTGGCCTTCTAAATTGGGCTGCCACGCCCACCGTCATCTTCGATGTTTACAGGGCTACGCCTCGTCTTTCATGTGAAGCTCCGAACACAAATGTCTGGCCGCTTATTTGGCCAGCCCTGGTGCCGATGATCGAAGCTCAGCTCTGGTCATTCGAACCAATGTTTCTGCATTGTACATCGCTGTTCGATGTTCTTGTCTGCTCCTGTTGTGTTTCCGAATGGGGTCGATGGTCGTATACTTCGGAGAATTCTTCTTCTTTAAACGATGAGCGTGTGGGGGGATTATCGAGCATGTGTTCGTAAAAATATGTTCGTACTTGGCTTGAAGCCAAGTACGAACATATTTTTCAGGGAAGTACCTTGGCTTCATTATGCTAATTGCGTACAGTGAACAGACAAGTTCACTGTACCAAGTTCGAGCTCGACTGCGGCGGCGGCTAAACGATTCTCAATTTATCCTACTTTATACTGTATCAGGAATTCATCCGATGCTCAAGGGTTGAATCCTCCGGTGGCCACTCCGGTGCTGTTTTCGGGAGGACTGATAGTCACCCACAGCAGCGAGATGACGATCGCCAACATGCCAGACCACACGTAGACGATGGTGGGAGTGCGACTCCTTCTGCCCATCAGACCCTTGGCGAACGGATACATGTACAAGAGCACCCACAGACTGAAGAATACACCTCCCAGGAGCTTGCTCCACTGCGGCAGCACGGCGTAAATTGTCCTCGATATAGCAACGGCGATGGCGATAAGGTTGACGATCATGATGGTGATGGGCGGGATCATGAGCGCAGTCCACTTGACGACGTACAGGTCCGCGAACTCGTCGTCCATGTCCTCGGCTCCGGACTTGGACGTGAGCGTGAAAGAAATATCCACTCCGGCCATGACCTTGAGCAGACCTTGGAGCACGGCAGCCAGATGGGCACTCGTACCTCCGATGACCCAAAACTGCTCGTTCCTCCACCATTCTTCCAGAGTGATTCCCGACCACTTGACCTCGAGAATAGCCAGCAGGCACAGGCAGACGGAAATGACGTAAAGTCTGCCTGAAAGATGCAGCAAGTAGACCAGGAAAGTCACATTGAGATTTTGCACGATAAACTGAACCGAGAAGAGCGACAGTGCCGGCAGGAAGCAGTACACGATCAGGAAGATAGACGTGAATGGGTAAACGCCGACGTTCAGGTACGCGACACGTTGCAGGAATTTCATGTGCGAGTTCGCAAAGATGGCGTTGTTCCGCGAGAAGAAAATCTCCACAGACCCCGTGGCCCACCGCAGCACTTGGTGCAGTCGATCCGTCAGATTGATGGGCGCCGTGCCCCGGAACGCGTCTCGCTTGGTGACGCAGTAGATCGACTTCCAGCCACGATTGTGCATTCGGAACCCGGTCACCACATCCTCTGTCACCGAGCCGTAAATCCAGCCCACTCGCCCGCCCCACTCGGTCTTGTCCTCGTAGTAGCACGAGATTACGTTGATCGCTTCGGCCACCGTCGCCGCATCCAGTGGCTCTCGCGGGCCCGTCAGGGCTCCGGCCGGTCGCCCGTGGGGGATTCCGGGCTCGGCCAGAGGTCGTCCCGCGAACTCCGCCACGGGAATGGAGGCTACGAAGATCTTCGACTGCCCGTACTGCTTGGGGAGCAGGCCTCGCGACTCGAATTCGTCCTCGTCGTTGGCCATCTGCGCCAGCAGGGCCGCCTTCTTTTTTAGTTTCTTGTGGCCACCGCGGGGAAGTTATGAGTAAGTTATCTTTCATTTCAGCTCGTCAACGGGGAGACCTTTAAAATTGAAATTGACAACGGAAAGGTTTAAGAAAGTGTATCCGTACGTGGTCCGTTCCCGACAATCCTGACCTTAAAGGCGAGAATGCTGAGGAGAATATTCTCGGGAGACCTTTAAAATTGAAATTGACAACGGAAAGGTTTAAGAAAGTGTATCCGTACGTGGTCCGTTCCCGACAATCCTGACCTTAAAGGCGAGAATACTGAGGAGAATATTCTCGGGCCGTAGTCGTCCAGCTCCAGTCCAACTTCCTGTAGTGACGTTAGACCAGAATATGTATACAGAGTTAAATCTCCTAATAGTGACACGTAACCGTTCTAGGGTTTTATGTCACTATTCGGAGGTGTCTAATTTTTTCCCGGCGTTATTTGCGTAGATTGCATCGAGAGAGAGAAACGCCCACCTACGCAAATAACGCCGGGAAAAGATTAGACACCTCCGATTTAAGAAAGTGTATCCGTACGTGGTCCGTTCCCGACAATCCTGACCTTAAAGGCGAGAATACTGAGGAGAATATTCTCGGGCCGTAGTCGTCCAGCTCCAGTCCAACTTCCCGTAGTGACGTTAGACCAGAATATGTATACAGAGTTAAATCTCCTAATAGTGACACGTAACCGTTCTAGGGTTTTATGTCACTATTCGGAGGTGTCTAATATTTTCCCGGCGTTATTTGCGTAGATTGCAACGAGAGAGAGAAACGCCCACCTACGCAAATAACGCCGGGAAAAAATTAGACACCTCCGATTAAGAGACAATGTGACGTGAAGTTTTGGATTTTCTGAAAAGAAAATCCAAAACTTCCAACTTCGTGCTCACGAAACCGGAGCCACCCATGAAAAAGAGGCACGTACAACTGATTCAACATTGAAGGCGTTTTCTGCCGGGGTCAAGACCTGTTCTTAACCGAGCATGACAGTTGAGTTCAAAAGGATCACATATCCGACTTTTCTGATTGTTTAAGGTCGTCCCGATCTCATATCCTTCACAAGAATCCGGTCTCGATCACATTAACTGGATTCTAATGATTGCTCGTTCTTCCAAGAGGCAGGAGAACAAAGGATGGGTGAGTCTACTCTACTGGCATTGCTCTGGATTTTGATTTTACAGTAAGAGAGGGTTCTCAATCATTTTCGTCATCGAACGTCTGATCACCCGATCGTCCAGTCCAGTGCTCCCTCGTGAGTTACAGTTACACCACCTCTCAATTGCTGCATCGCGTACAGGCAGATTCGGAATGGTGCAGATCCAGTCTCTAAAATGTGGGACGCGGTGCAAGTCGAAGGGTCGTGTCTCGATTAAAGTCGAAGGACTGTCACACACACTGTGAGCTGAGAAAGTGCCGCTGGGAAGGGAAGCTAGGATTGATATGGGACTCTGACTTCTTCGGTCGCAGAGATCTTCTCCATTGGATTTTTCAGTGTTATGTGACAACAGAAACTCAGAAGAAATTCCCATCGACAAATATTGCGAAGCCATGAAAAAGAATCGTGGATTCACACGGACGCTGTTACCATGATAGATTTCGGCTTTTCTGCCATCGTTGGCATAATCTGAGAGTAAATGCCTTGCCTTCTTCGGTCGCAAAAGAACCTCTCAGACTGGATTGTTTCAGTCTGATGTGACAACAGAAACTCGGAAAAACTTTCCATCTACAAATACTCGATCTCTGTCTTCAGCACAAGTCATGATCGTCCTCCTTACAGTAGTTACAAGCGCAACTCCAGCATTGGAGACTCGGTTTATTTATCTCTGCTTTATGTGCGCCATCTATTATTTCGACTTGTTTTCCCTATCATGGATTTGACTCCATCCTGACCAGCTTGAAAAAGCGTGAAAATATCCCACCGGCAGAACCGACCTGTTCTTCTTTCCACTCGATTTGTCTCAATTTGCTTCCAGCACTCTTCCCACAAGGGTTTAATCATCGCACCACCAATTTGCAACGAGTGAGCAGAGAGATACGTCTCATATCGTCGACCTCTTCGCGACACAGGTTTGAGAATATTATAACCACCGAGAAGAATCGGGATAGACCAATCACCAAACTTTCAAAGGAGAGTTTTAACTCTGAACAAATATTTTTGATAATTATGATAGTTATTAAAGATCAACATAGTCACTCTTGAAAAATCTAATGACACGGTTAACAATAGTTACGAATTATTATTATTGGATAGAATAATAATAGTGAAATAAAAATTAATAATTCTTCATTTTCATGTCACTCATGGGAGTACCTCACGACATTGTACTGTTACTATTGCATAAAATTACCCATTATAAACTAATAGTTCTTCACTAATGGGAGTATTTCACTCACAAGAATTCACACTATTGGGAAGTTTAAGTCTGTAGATCTCAACACAAAAGTGCCATAACGCATTTGACTTCATCTAACGCGTAATAATAAGTCAAATGATCCAGTCACATACCAACGGCGTATCAGCTTCATCCACGCTCTGACCCGAGTGTCAGTTCTGACCTTGTCTATTAATATGTAAATTAGATATTTATAACTTATAAATTATTTCTTTAATATATTCCTGATTATATGTGTATATATATAAATATTAATTTACAAGTTTTAAAAAGCTAAAGTCTAGGTTTCAATCAAATATTATTTTTGCCTCTTATACCCGAGTGTCAACTCTTTGCTTGAAACACTTTCAGGAGTTTCACTTATATTATCTGAAAATTCCCATTTCCGTTATAACAAGCTCTTTTTTAATTTCATCAGTACAATCTCTTGGAAAAAACGCTCGATCCGGAAGAGTTTTCAATTTTCATGTTTGACAATGTATCCGATTTATTTTCTTTCTCGACATGACCTGGCAACCACGTAAGGTTTATGTTCGGGACACGTTAACGGCTTTGAGTTCTCAGAGGCGCGGTCCTCTTCGGTTGTCTATGTTTCCTGCTAACTGCGACTGTTCTCGCATGAGATCTCTGGACTCATCGTGGCCATGAGGCCTGACTCAGGCCTCATGGCCACGTCACCTCAGGAGTTAGGCCGCCAGACTCCTGAGGTTTATTACCGCTGCACTGTGTCTCTCATCACCGCGTCGTCGACCACGACGAGGTCGGGACGGGGGGGATCTTGACCTTACCTAGTAACGCAGACAGTGAACTTAAACTCGGTGATGACTTGTCCATGTACAGATCAGTAAGGAATTATTTCTACGTGGACAAATCATCACCACGTTTAAGTTCACTGTCTGCTTTACTCGGTAAGGACAAGTTCCCCACCTCGTCATGGTCGACGACGCGGTGATGAGAGACACAATGCAGGCGTAAGAAACCTCAGGAGTCAGGCCTCATGGCCAAGTTGAGTCCAGAGGTCCTGGGAGAACAGTCGCAGGAAACATAGACAACCTAGGAGGACCGCGCCCTTTAAGACTCAAAGCCGTGAACGTGTCCCGAACATAAACCTTACGAGGTTAGCCAATTCATATCGATGTACTAATTGAACAATAGACAGCTTCATTCATGAAAAAACAACAATCTTCGGTAACAATCTACTTTTACAAGAGAGCGTAAAAATGGAAAATGTAACAGCTTGTAGGACATTTGCCAGCGTCAACGGCCGTTCACGTAGTCGATGTTCGATCACTCATATCGAGTCCTAGCAGTCTAATCCCTGAAGACACTCTATCAAAAGAGTAGATGATTAAATGCATGACCGATAATTGTGTTACAAGCTTTCGATGCGATGAATGTATTGTTAAAGTTGACGTTCATTTACTCTTTCTCTACATGTTTATGAGAGTCTTACTTAAAGTACAATAATGTTGCTTCGGCAGTATCTCTGTATTCAGGACAGAGTTTGAAATCGAAAGCGATCTCACCTCGATGGGTCACAGAAGGCCCGAGCCCTGTGTCCCAGTTTCATATTAGTCCCACTTCGATGAATGATGAGTTCGGGACCGGTTCGCTTCCAGGAACGCTTTGCAGGCCGAAGACTGCCTTGGCCACATTTCATGAAGATTACGAAGTCCATGATAGCATCGTCCTATGGAACTTATGCCTTCTTTAAAAAATGAGCGATTTCTTCTAAGCGCTCCTAGAGCAGTTAATTGAGTGCTGCTCAATTGGAAATGTTCACTGTTAAAATTTCTGCTATCAAATAAGCAAGTAAGGATATATTCATTACCAGTACGTAGCTATCGTTAGGATATGACGTTTTGATTCACACAAAATTCTGTACATTGTCAGAAGGTAAGCAGTAACAAGTCACTCTCCGCTTTCAAAGATGAGATGGGAGCAATATTGGAGCTGCTTGGTTGTCTTGCATTTAAATGATAGCTGATTCTCCTTTTTGATTTCTGATTTCTGAACGTAACCATTTCGATGGATACTATTGGATCCATTTTTGTGCGCAAAGATCTTCGTTTGAAGACTGCGCTACAATAGACTGGCAAGACACAGAAAGCAGTAGGAGCGACCTAACATATCTCAATCTTACTTTTTTCAATATACCTCTCGATTGTGTCGAATTCAAATTTTAATCCGATTCTCTTAGACGTAGGAACTTTAATGTACATGTATGGGGACTTCTATGTAAACCCCTGCATATCTACCAATGCTTCTGTCATGAATTGCAAATCTCATGGGCTCCAGGTCATGATCAATCATTCCAGACTACGGTGCAAAATATTGTTGTTGCGTAGAAATTGTTGTTCTATCATGTTCGTTCTGAGTTAAGGCGTTTTTCTTCACATTATTCGAACCCATTTTCAAACAATATCTAGCTCGACGCTGATTGAATGTGACGACTGTCAGTGTAGCACTTGCAGGGGGAAGAAAGAAAAAAGTTTGCTGGTCGTAGAGGGAACAGCACCATGACAATGGGCATGGAAGGCAAATATGGAGCCCTGCCTGCGGCCCGACTGGCCTCCATGGCTGTCCAGGGTTTGTACCAGGCTATGGGAGCTGAGCTAGACCAAGGGGCTACGAGCCGAGTTTTCATGCACGCACAGCAGCGGAACGGGAGGAAGGATCCGGGAGGCAGCCCGATGAGCGGATGAGTGGGCGCGATCGACTCTTGCAATCGCTCTTTCGCTCTGACTCCCGGCCAATGACCGGACGAATGACCTCCCTAAATCAGCGGTTGGCACCCTTGGAGTCACTGTTGGTGTCCCCCCAGCAATATCGAAATCTTTTGCTGAACCGTAGTAGCATCTTTAAGCTGTTGAAGCGGTTACCGATGAACCTGCTTAATTTACTTCTCTGCGTGAAAGCCAGCTCAGAGTCTGTACATCGCAAACACAGCATACTTCTGAAGTGCGTGTGTCAGAGTGTGCTCACTGCTACACGACTTCGACATTAGCTCCCATTCGCTTGAACACCCGAGCAGCATTACGCTGCTCTTTCACGAGCTGCGACGGTGAGAAGCTGCTCAAGAGGACCATAATCTCAGCTGCTCCAATTCCAAGTCCGAGAATGATTAGACAATCTGCAAACCGGTAGCGGGCATGGAGAAGCGACGCTATGGCAGCAGTGTCCGATGCCATGGTCAATGTGGACTGAAAGAGACATTCCAGTTGTCACATTGCATCGCAAGAGTGGAATTCATCTCTGTCGTGTCGGAATGAATTACAGAGAGTTCCTGGATTTGACTGAGAGGTTTCTCGATTGGCATCCCGTTAGCCCTTTGCTGAAATCTGTGTCAAGGTAATAAATTGATTCACTGTAATCATCACCTCTCTTCTGTATTCTGAAGGTGCGGTGACAGTTCTGATACGTCCTTCGAACTTCGAAGAAATGTAAGCATTCTTGTGTTTGCTTTGGAATTCAATTTTATGCCCGAAAATCTTCCAGGTACTTGTGTGTTCTGATCCAAATCTAAGGCACTAGAACAAATCAATCCCTGCCACTAATGTAGGAGGATCCGGACTTTATTCCGCAGCTGGAATTTAGAAGATAATCGACCACGAGACTTGTAATTTGAAAGGCTTAGCGCTTATATGATCGACAGCTACTCCTGATTGATGTTCTTCTCGTCTTTGCCGAAATTGTGGAGTTCTGCTTACAAAGGCATGTTATGCAACGGTGGGACTTTGACGACCAAGTCAATCCTGGATCGCGGCGCAATACATGGGAGAAAGCTGGTCTGCACCTGGTCCTTGACGGTTTTTTGACTCTCTAAAAGACAATCTGTACAGGAATATCGCTCCATTTGACTATGAGTAAAGTCAACTGCCTCCAGGAATAGTTTTTCACACATCGCACTGGAAAGTTCATAGTATAATTCAAGAAGTCTGAAATAGACGATTCGGAATAGCTTCTCGAGCTACATAGCAAGTTGTATATCTCTTCTTCGTCACTCTTATTATGTATGTAAGTGCTATATACTAATAATATATATAAAAAAATGAATTAGTTGCATTAGTTGCATTACTTCTAGCCAGGCAATGCGTAAAACTATGTTCAGACTCTAGTGTATGTCATCAGCCCAAAAGTGTGATCTAAACTCCGAAAGTAACCATGGTCATACAGAATTACTGCAAGGTGTATACAAAGTATGACATTTTTTACTCACACTAGCTCATAAAATTCACTTGTTTCTGTTCTCTACATAAACGGAGCTTCATACGTGTTCAACCCCCAGAATGGCAAACTTGGCTGCAAAGAGATTATCAAGATACAGAGATAATACACCATGCATCTACATAAAATATGAGGAAAACAATGGTTCCTATAATGGCTGTAAGTAGCTTGCAGAAAACGATGTGGTACATCAGAATACTCAGTTTTAAAGTGTTTTAAATAACAGCAGTCTTTCAACACCATGTGAAACGAAACTCGTTGTCACAAATTGAAACGGCAGTGAAAAGAAACAACCGGAACAAATGTTTGTCCGTTTATTTGAAAGAGGTAATTCGAACATGTATACAACCTGGAAGCGTTTCCCAACATGTATTGATCTATAAAATTCGCAAAGTCTAAATTCATTATAAATTCGCTCACGGGCAGCACACCTCTTCTGTTAATTTCTGCAACTATTCATGAAAGAATTTCTCAAGTTAATCTCACCAAGCAAATGGGCAGAAATGAGTGTAAGAAGGTACAGAGCATGCACTACGAACTATATCATCCTGGAGACCTCAGTTCTTGCAACTGTGAATCTACATGGTCGGCATGAATGGAGCTTTCAGTTTCATCAACTCCGCGGAAGTGATCTTGAAAGCCTTGAGGAGAACCTCGTCCTCAATTCCAGAACCAAAAATGTTCCTGGGCAAGGAAATGGTGCCAGCGTTGGAGCTACCGAAAGCAGAGATGGCGCGAACAGTCTTCTTCTTGGACATGTTGATCTGGAAGTGGACAAGACCCTGAGGGAACACGAACAAGTCACCCTCATGGAGATGGGCGGAGTACAGCTTGTTGGCAGAGTCGATGAGGCCGACGTCCAAGTGTCCAGCCAAGACATAAATGAGCTCTGATCCACGGGGATGAGTGTGGGGAGGGTTCATAGTCTTGGGCTTGTACTCGAGAAGGGTCACACCGACGCCGAGTCCAGTGAGAGCGGAGAATTCGACATGCGTAACCTTCTTGGAGCCGAAGGTGCTTGGAGCAGCGGAGAAGTCTCTGAGGCCTGTGAACTTGAAGAAATCTCCAGTGATCATGGAGGCGTTCATTCCTACTGGGACGGCGAAGTCGGTTGTGAGCTCGGGGTCACGGGCGCAGACGGCAACGACCGTTGTCATCATAAGGACAAGTACCAGCTTCATGGTGGCCATGATTCCTTAACGAGTTCGAGCTGTAGATCTGCAGGCCAACATGTCCGAAGTGAATTTTGTTAGAATGGATGAAATCCAAGCCGTCTTCTAACATATCCCACAAATTCAAATATCTGAGCTGATCGATCTGAAAGCAGGACCCCAACACATAGAGTCCAACCTCGACGTATTCATGATTTCTCTCCCGGTCTAGAGTCACTTACGTCGAACGAATTAGAGCAGGTTACTAGTTCACTTGGCTGAGTGCCGGTTGCAGGTATTATTTCGTTAGGAAACTGATCTTCAATTCCTCTTTATGTACCCGAGAGAGTTCTACAGTGCTTTTGGCTGTTTCCTCAATGGAACCCATGTACATCGTGCAAGCTTTCCGGCCTGTAGCTGCAGCGCGTGGCGAAGTGTCGAAAACAAGATGCAGCGTCAGTTTTCCACGTATGACTTGAGCCAGCTCAAGTACAAGCGAACTTAGTCTTGCGGATATGTACTTTGCTACTTGTCCTTACTCTTCACTTGATGATGATGTCTGCACTGACACTATGATTGGTGGTTTGATCAGTTTTTGCCCAGGCCAGTGCTTATGAGATTTTCTTTTATCTATATCTGGGCTGATATCGAATGTTACTCCATTAGGAAGAACGAGTCTCCCGTGCTCTTCAGCTGCTGTTTGCACGACCTTCTGTGACGTGCAATTTCCTGTTGTCTATTCTGGTCATAACTAAAAATAGTTCTCGATATCGCAAACCCAACAGTATGGGGACAACAATAGTTATCTTCTACATTCTTTCTTGTCTTCAGCACATGTACGGCCTACTGAACGTATCGCAACACACACGACATTAATGTCGACATTCGACACGGATGAAACCAACACACCTTCCTATTCACATGGACACAAGATCCAAATATTCCAGCATATCATGGACAATTTTGGCTTCTACTTGCCTTTGAGCGGATGCACTATTGACCTGGATGGTTAAATCTGCGTTACAGGGATCTAATTGAGTTATCCTGAATATGAAGTGGCTTGTTATAAACTAGCAGTCCTTCCAAAGCCGTAAATGGTTTCTCCACAACTATAGGATAAAAAGTAGTTGAATCATGCCTCAAAAAAGTAGCTGTGCCTCTAGCAAAACTGTTCTACAAATGGCAACATATGAGGGTATCCAGATCTTTTCATCACAGAAAACCAATCTTCTTCTCACTGTGGTATACTATGCTGAAGCACTTATGTGATCATCTCAATCTCCTTGGCAGCTCAGTTCAAGTTTCGCAAGCATTCCAGGAGAATTTCAACTGCGTGATATGATCAATCATCACGATCAATGCTATGCTTTCACTTGAGCCGGCTAAGGTCAACCGTGGCAAACAGATGCTGCACTTGCTGTCGACACTCTGACACACGCTGCAGCTACAGGCCGGAAAGCTTACACGATATACCCAACATGGGTTCCAAAGGACGAAGTAGCCAAACGAGAACTCTTCCGAGTGTCTATCTCGTTTGAATAAAGAGGCATTATACATAACGCTGCTAAGTGAAGAATAGAATAGCACCGGAACTCAGCCGACTCTAAAAGTGCTCTAATTTAGTAGAGGCGCAGTTCTCAAAGTAAGTTCCTCCCCAACTCTAGAATCATTGATGCTTCTTTGTTTCACTCTATGCGAACATTTGTACACTGTCGTGAGGACTTCTCTCGTTGCCCAAATATTCCAGAAGATCAATGCCCTGCATTCTTAGAATTTCTAGGATCCTTTCCAGGGGGAAGGCTTACAAAGCTGGCCAATTTTAGATATTTCGATTTTTATGTGTTGGAATCCTGGTTTCATATCAGTCGAGTCAGATGTGTTCGAAGAACTGCTTGGTTAAATCATCCATCCTAACAAAGCTCACTGCCGACATGGTGGCTTGCAGATCTACAGCTCGAAATCGCTAACTAATCATGGCCACCATGAAGCTGGTACTTGTCCTTATGATGACAACCGTCGTTGCCGTCTGCGCCCGTGACCCCGAGCTCACAACCGACTTCGCCGTCCCAGTAGGAATGAACGCCTCCATGATCACCGGAGATTTCTTCAAATTCACAGGCCTCAGAGACTTCTCCGCTGCTCCAAGCACCTTCGGCTCCAAGAAGGTTACCCATGTCGAATTCCCCGCTCTCACTGGACTCGGAGTGGGTGTGACCCTCCTCGAATACAAGCCCAACACTCTGAACCCTCCCCACACTCACCCGCGTGGATCAGAGCTCATCTTCGTCATGGCCGGACACTTGGACGTCGGCCTCATCGACTCTGCCAACAAGCTGTACTCTGCCCATCTCCATGAGGGTGACTTGTTCGTGTTCCCTCAGGGTCTTGTCCACTTCCAGATCAACATGTCCAAGAAGAAGACTGTTCGCGCCATCTCTGCTTTCGGTAGCTCCAACGCTGGCACCATTTCCTTGCCCAGGAACATCTTCGGTTCTGGAATTGAGGACGAGGTTCTCCTCAAGGCTTTCAAGATCACTTCCGCGGAGTTGATGAAACTGAAAGCTCCATTCATGCCGACCATGTAGAATTTGCAGCGGAAAGAACTGATGTCTCCGGGAGGATAAAGTGCGTTTTGCATGCTCAGTACTTTCGTATACTGTGCCCATCAGCTTGATGGGGATCACTCTCGGACATGTTTTATCAAAAGGTTCAGCGTTGCACCAAAAAACTTGCTCTTCCTGGGAGGGAGTTTCAAATGGAAGTTGACTTGGCGAAATTAAAGACTAATAAGTCTTCGGAAACTTTCCAATTAGTGCAAATGTTCTATTTAACTCTGTGAAATAAACGGAAATATTGGAGTCCAGATTCTATCAGTTCACCTTCGTTTCAACTCGTTACAAGAATTGTCGTTCTACATTGTCTTGGAAAGCTGGTGGTGGCTATTATTTCAAACACGTCAATACTTTAATGTTCTAATTTATCCACATCGTATTCTGCAAGCTAGTCATAGCCATGATAATATCCATGTTGAAGAGTTCAGCTCTGTAAATTGGCATGTAAATAGATCTGTGTGCGTAGTGAGCAGCAAAGAAGTGAAACTTAAGTTCGTCAAGGATTTCAAGACGCTTGCACAATTTGCAGTCATATCAACAAACCCCCAACTAAATCAAAAATCCCGGGTCCGGATGGACAAAAGCACACGCAATTGCCGCATAAAACTCAAATATATCTGGACCTACAATGATTCAAAGCCTCCATGCCATGCGGTACAGGACATATTATACCGTGATATTGAAGTATATATAGGAGGAGTTATGAGAACCTCGGAAGAGATGTAGAGTCAACGTGTTGATACGCCTGCTCTCATACCAGGACAGATATTTCACTCAAGTCCAATGTGCATTGAGTTATTTTCACCCATGTCCATCATCTTCTTCGTTTCAAGTGGATTTCCTATCTTTATTGTTCATCGCAAGCTTTGATTAGATTCAGTTATTGACAGATATACGTATTGTATCACAAGATATATATTGCTCTAACGTTCATATTATGTATCGAGATTCCATAATAACATTTTACAATGAGATTTTTTTCTTAGTTGGTTGGAGATTTATAAGTGTATTGGTGGAAAGAATTTTATTTTAATAGTGACTTGAAACTGTTCATATATGATCTCTTGGAGACCTACATTCGCAAGCACTACTACTTCAACATATAAGTTTTGTTCCAAGATAGTTGATATGACTTGGAAGAAGGGACCACTTTGTTTCCTCTGTGGACATTTAGTCCTTTTGATGGGTATTGGGGAGAATATCATGTTGAGCTTTCGACATGACCGCGGTAAGCAATTTGGTGAAAGAACTTCATTTCAAAAAAATTGAAGCAAAAAAAAAAATGTTGTCAACTTATAATTGTCACGATTCACACGTGTGATCGTGTGCGTAAACACATTCTTTGTGACTTGTATAAAGTTACATATGAACTCCTCAATCTTTGCCTTAAGCTGATGAAAGACATAAAATACGAAAAAAATATTTTTTCGATTATGAAGGGCATGATAGGAGAGAGAGAAGCAGATTTGGTGAGCCAAAGATGTAGAAAAACGTTTGGAATGAAAAAACCTAAAAATGCACCCCCATCTCTAATTTATAAAACAAATACCTTTATTAATCAAACCAAAAAATTGATAAATTACTATAGAAATATTTTTTCTATATTATAAATTCAATCCTATAATATCATTTATCTTAAGTCAACCTTGATGTTTGTTTTATGTATGAATTTTTATCTGTTTAGATTAGATGGTTTTGGAAGTAATTTATTTTTTTGTCAAAATGTGAAAAATATTAAAAAATAATCAAAGCGTATATAATGAAATGTAGAATTAAATTTATTTGAATATTGAATAATAAAGAAATATCATTGAAATGATTAACCTGGAATTTTCTTAATTGTAATTTAAATTGACAAAATCTGCTAAGTTTATAGTTATAAAATAATATATTTGATCAAATTTTCAATCTGTATTCCAATACAAATTTTCTAAGAATCATATTTTCAACATCGACATTTTTGGTGATTGATGTTTTGTAAGAAGAGCACATTTAAGACAGGGTTAATTCAAATATCATGTCAACGTAATTATTTTACTTCTAAATATATAAATCTTACTATGTTAAAATATTATATTTTTAATATTTCTAATATTAAATTTTGTTTTTTCACAACAGTATTTATTTTCAACTTGTCTTCCAAAGACTTTGAGCTTCTTTTTTGTTGACTTTAAGCGACTCTCAATCATATACTCAGGTTGACAAAGGCCAAACTTCAAAGCTAAAATTCAAAGCTCTAATCTAATCAGTATGTTAATTTCGACTAAAAAAAGTTATATTTCTTCATAGCGTTGCCAACTCTGGTAACATGTCTATTGTGCTTTAACAGCTGTTATTGCACGAAAAGTTTAAAACAATTTATGTGCTTTTATATGCACTCATCTACATATTTAGGGATGTCATTACATGAGCCATGACAACATTAAGAGTCATTCTCTAAATTGCTTTATATCTAAAAAAAGGTTTCACAATACATGGCCAATCTTATTAAATTCAAAATTCAGGATTCAGTTTTCATATTTAAGATCTAAAATTTATCCACCAATGAACAAACGTTCAAACAAAAAATAATCAAAATGGAAATTATCTTGCAATCTTTACTTGAACATTTTTTTAATCAATATTGCGAATGATTTCTCTTAGTTTTGGCTTAAAAACGCAATCATACCAAGTTTTAAATATTGTAATTAACGATTTTCAAAGGTTTTTGGCCAAAATTCTGGAATAGTGAGAGAAGTTACTGAACACATCACAATCTTCTGTTTTATTGATAAATAAGTATTATCGTACCAAAATGTCATGGAAATAAAAAAGAGCATAGTAAACACAGAAAATAGGATTGGATGTAGCGTGATTGGTATGGCGAGTAAAGGCTGTAGTTCAATAGACGAGAGTGATTCTAATTGAGTGGACCTTATCAAACATCTAGGAAGTATTTTTGAATGATTTTTGTGTGTGTCACAAAGCATGGGGAGATCATAGTTGCCTACATACTATAATGCAAAGTATTTTCCAACTTTTAAGGACTCTAGCTTCTGGAAACTGCAGCTGCTGTTTCCAGCCATAGGACTTTCGAAGCAGATTCGACTGAAAAGTTTGTAGATAGGGGAAGCTTATATCCATGCAAAGTGTTAGGCAGGCTGGCCTAAAGTGTTTGAGGGGCATGCTGGCGGCCGAAGGCCGGTGTTCGTCGTAGTTTACTGACATGAAGAGCGCAGTACACACGGTTCTAGTATCACGTTCGGTGCATGGGAACAACTGATGAAGGATCTAAATGGACGAGTGCTTACTTTTCGCGGATGGCGATCATCGAGCGTCCTCCGCCCCTACAATCATCGCAACCTCATTCCACGGAGGGAATTCACATGCCTAGCTATTTTTCCGAACAAAGCCATCCGAAACAAGTGACATATGATCTGTAGAAGCGGGGACCCACGAATCGACCAGGGAAATCTCCCGGCTCCAAAAGTCGAGCAAGCAACCATTTGCCTGTTATTCGGCATGGGGAGACTAATTTCCGTGTGGAATGCCGATTTCACAGTTAAATATTCAAGCCCAAATAGTAATGTGAGACCTACTTGACTAATTTTCTTTTGTACTTTTGAGTTCAATACTCGATTGATTGATTGTATCATAATTTTATTTATTGATTTACTTATTATAAATCCAAATCGATTAGAGTAGTGTATATGATGTCATGAAATTAGCCATATCGTGTAAACTAATTCGTAACAGGCCATAAAGCAGTTATCCAAAGTACTAACTGTATCACGTGCAGCACAACTGTAAACTGTCCAATCCTGCAAACTGAATCTATGGGATTATCTAAGGGGTTTCAATCATACCATAAAATTAACCTTGTATTAACATGAGTGGAATAATCTTCTTACTATTCATATAACTTATTGAATTATGTTGATGTTTTCAAAATTTTATCTTTAACTATTTGATATATAGCATGTCTATTCAGTTCATAGCTGAAGACAAAAAAGTTGCCACATAAGAAGTAGAATTTGTTCAAGCATAATGCAGAGTAGCGAGCAAAGTTTAGCCATGGGTTAGTGTTCGTTGCAGGGCTATTTTATTGTAAAAATAGTGTATCATTGATGCATGAAAAATTGTCAATTCTACTGTAAATAATTTTTTTCAAATTCTATACATATTCTTTTTGCCATGAATTTCAATCATGTTGGCAAAATGCTTGTGATTTCATGGTATATGTTCACAAAAGTGTGATCCAAGCAAATTGTTGCTCAAATCATCATTCTAACTGACTTCAAGAATGATGATGATGATGTTCTCATTCAAGAGCATTAACTTTTTACATAAAAAATTAAATCTTTTTTTCCACAATCAATTCATCTTTGATAAGGTCATCTATGGACTAATGTTGGTCTTTTATACCGTTAAAACATGTTTGTGAGATTTCTTACAAATTGAAGCTTTAATCATATTCCACATATTGTATGATTGTAAAATCACTATTTATTATTCTTGCTAAATCAAGAATAATTTAAGATTGAAAAATAGTAAAACATGGATTTAAAATATAAAAATACAAAAATGAAATATTTGGTTCAATTAAAAAATCATATAAAAACATAGATTAAGTATAGAAATTGAGAAGGCATAATATTTTTCAATTCTAATATGCGCAAGAATTTTTTGCATCTCAGAAAGAAAAAATTGTGATAATTTTTATCGGATTAAAATTTCAAATGAAGTTCAGATAGGATATAGTTTATACAGTATGTGATAGTTACTGAACTATTTGTGAATGGCAATTCAGAAATAAATGAGCTTGTTATGTGACGATTGAGTGTGTAAGATCAACTAACATATCAACAATGCATATAATTGTTAGGTGATATATTGAGTATGTTATTAAGAGTTTCAGGTTTACTAAACCGAATAATTTTTATTTGATGGTTTAAGAGTGTTATAGATATTACAAATTTTTAGTCCATGTAAATATAGTTACATTCTTCACATCGTCAACTCATAAAAAAAAAACTTAGATAATGATTGAAGAAATTTGTATTTTGGAATGTTTTGTAACGCCTAAAAATGAAAAAATACAATATGAAGAAATTTTTCAACCTCAGAATTTGTGCCAGTCAAATAATATATTCTATCTTCATTAGTACTACAATAGTTCTAAGATTCCCATTTTGAAATAATTCTCAATTTCAATGTATCCAGACACTTTAATAAGCAATAATATATTGCGCATAGATTATTTTATTCATTTCACATATTTTAATATGGAAGATTAGATATAAAAAGAAGGTTTTTGGTCATCTTTGTTCAAATGGATAGGCTTTTTGATGATGAAAAGAAAACTAAGAGCAAATTATAATGTTACAATCGTTGGGACTTTTTTAGATCTTTGATTTCATCTTCTAATAATTCATACCTAATTTGATTATTAGTTTATCTTGATGGATTGACATTAAAAAAAAAAACTCTACTTGCATACTTGGATTCTACCACATTAGTCTTTGAACTACTATGATTTCTTTCTTTTTTCGATTAAGCAACTATGTAACTCTGGAAATTTGAAACAATGCTCAATCATATATCATAACATTTCAACTCTCAGTAATTGATAATTATGAAATCATGATTGTCTTTGGTCTATCAATTTACATCTTCTTCATTCATGTCTTAGTCTATTGTCACTAACGCTGCATGATAGAATACTAAGTTTTATGATATCCTTCGTGATGTGATGTTTGATATGTTGCATGAGAATGTATAACTAACATGAAGTATGGTTTCAAGTTGATGTATATTAATGCCAATGCTCGACAGAATTTCATAATCCATAATATATCGAACAAATTGCTATTTCATTACTATATTATTTTTTAAGATTTGATTCTTACTTACAATAAGCGGACCCATGATCAATATGTAGGGGATGACAACCTCTTACTTAGATGCGAAAACACGGAGAAATCAGCAAGTAAGGTATCGAAATACATACATGATTATGCGGAGAGTTCAATAGTTCATATCTTTAGCCCGGGAATATTTTGGTCTATCGTAGCCTACTTTGTGAATGAGTCAACAGAGTCTACGACACTAAACGGCAAAACAAATCTCTAGAGGTTATTTTGAAGCCCCATTGAGTCAACAGAATATATAAGAAAATCAAAAAGTGGAAAACGTCTAGTTTGGTCTTGATACTCTCGCAGACAGGAAATCACTTGATGGGACCCGGGGAAACTGAAAGCACTTGATGGGACCACAAGTTTCACTTTACCCGATGGTACCCATCGACGCCCTGCAGCCCCACCGTAAGTGATGTTCCAAATCGTATCGGATTTGGGATTATTTCGAGTAGTCACTGCAAGACTATATGGGGCTTAAAGACTCATGGTGCCCTTCGTTTTCTTAGACATGGCTGCGAACTAGTCGCCAACATACTCTGTCCCGACAGTGGCGAACACTCCCCACTCTATAGAGCAAATCAATAGGTTATAAGAACATGGCTGACGGTGACCGTGGAATGGGGTCCCATGAAACCTGATGGGTCCTTCAAGAGTTTACAAAGGGTCCCATCAAGTAATTTCCTCCTCTCGCGGAAGAAGATTCACATTTGTAATTTGGATCATACGTCCACTTTTACTCGACCTTATCCAATCAAATATTGTATACTTAAAGTTGAACTCAAGGGGAAATCCTTCTGCATGAGGCCTTCGCTGCATCCTCTTCCCCTGGCCATGCGCGCTCCCCTGCAAAACGAAACTAAGGTCGGGTAACAAAAATGGTTCACAATAAAGTACTGTAATTAGAATGAGTTAAACGTGGGTAACCCTGTCAGGTACCAACACGAGTACGGTGCTTTTTCACCGTGTCTGTCAGGGGCATGTGGTAGAACTCGACGAGGTGGAGCCCTGCAGAATGAGCTGAGAGTGCCACGTGCTCGGGGGCGGCCCCGCGTTCCTTGACCCGTACCTTGACTCGGTCACGAGCTCACCACCACATGATTCCTTCGTGTCGGGAGCTCTCCATGGCTCCACAGCCATCCTTTATATGCAGCTGATCAGATCTCCAATGTCACGATCCAGAAGTGAGAAAATCTACACACATCTGAGCGGAGATCAGCTTACACTGACTCCGAATTCATCGTATCAGACTCCAATTTTCGTAGTTTTCTCAGGCTGAGAACCTTCGATTTACTTGATTTAGCTTCGGATTGCAAAGGCGTAAGACAGTTCACAGGGGAGGGGGCTAGTTATGGCACCAATGGCTGTCTCGCTGGTTGTACCAGCAGATGGTGGTTTGCTCTTCCTAAGCGGATTTACTCACGGGAAACTGAAATCAGGCAGCAGAAACTGTGATGGTCATATACGTAGAATTCAGCGAAGAGTTGTTAACAGAGCTGTAATTTCGACGTCGAGGAACACGAAGGTGGTTAACGAGGATGAAATAAGACATTTTCATGGCACGGACTACAACAAGGGGTGGACGGATGCGAGAGGACTGACCGAAGAGCGGATTCTCGGCCACTTCGAAGAACTCTCAGTCCTGGTTTCGGACAGATCTGAGATGCATTCAATTCTTGCGCAACAACGCGATAACTGGAACAGACTCTTCCATACCACCACCACCATAGCTTCAGTTTTCGCTGCCACAGCTTCCGCTGTCAATGGAGCTGTACCCGGTCCAGGATTGCAAGTCGTGGCCATTATTCTCGGCATGGGAGCAGCTGCGCTGATGGCTCTCGTGAGCAAGTTCCAGCCGTCGCGGCTCGCCGAGGAGCAACGGCATGCGGCTCGGTTTTTCAAGCGATTGGGAGCTGATGTCGAAGCCACTTTACAAGTTGATCCGCGACTGCGTGAAGAAGCATCGAGTTACTGGGAGAGATCGGTGAACACATTGCACGCCCTGGATCGAGCATTTCCTCTTCCCCTGACACCGAGAGATGTGGAGGAGGAGTTACCCAAGCAAGTGGGTCCATCGAAACTCAGTGGCGAAGTGGATCTAGCTCGACCTGAAGTTAAGGTGTCCCGTCATTTTCATATCAATGGATGGACGCCGTCAGCAGTAGAAGACCTCAAGCACACTGCTCATCTTCTGCATCATTCGGACATACCAGAATATGTGAACATGGCCAATAAGGCCAAGCTCATCAACCTGATTCTGTCGATCACCTCTCCTCTGTTGGCAGCAACAGGTGTGGCATTGAACATGGCAGGCTGTACATCAGTAGCTGCGGCAGTCACCGTGGGGTCCCTGTTCGCGCACACTCTGACACACGCCCTTCAGATGGGAGCAGTGTATGAGGTTTACAGAAACTGCGCTGGGTATTATGGCGACGTGGAAAAGTCCATTGAGCAAGTACTGCGCTTACCTGTACAAGAACGTCAAGACGCTGCGATATTTCTTCACAAGATCTCTATGGCGCTCGGGAGAGTACCGGCGATGACACCAATGGTACCAATCAGCAATAAAACTGCTGGAAGCCTATTTTGAAATACTCGCCTCTACTCGTAGCACAACACTCATCGGCAGCTCTATTACTGAAAATCTCAGGGATAAAGAGCCGAGAGGACGCATCAGTCAACAATAAATTTTGCACATATATTTAGGATTAGGATAGAAATGTCAATCCCGACAAACCAGTCGACTCCAAGGTGATGATCACATAATCAGAGGTGTAAATATGTACACAGGGCTTATAGATAGGCAGATTTAAGGGGATCGATCGCACCATAATTTCCCAATATGAAAGACATTTACCCGTACAAGCAGTAGAATTAGAGGAGGGCGACTCAACTTCTGGTTCCAGTGATATTGCAGGGCCGGCACGAGCACGGATTGTGTCACCATTTTTCAATAATTTAAAGCGAATAGCGGCTTCGGTTATCACTTGAGCAAAAGCAAGTCCTGTCATTTCCATCCGATTGAAAATCTGTGCAATACGACCGGGCAAATAGCATCACTCAGGAATCTACTTCCACATTATGACATCTCGGAGATCGGTGATTGGAAGAATGTTACGGCTGACAAGAAGTAGCGAGTGTATTACTGAAGAGCCCTACCCCACCGTGCTAGGAAATTCCAAGATAAAGATGATGGGAATCATATCAGGCTTTGCGGCAATAGAGTTGCGACAGCGAAGCCGGCCCCCACTCCCGTGAATATTGGAGACAATGGTAGAAAGACTTTAGTTATATCACGAATTTTCCAACAAGGAGGGCATTCCCATAGCAGGGATTGCATATGAGAGTATTCTATCTTCGCTACCCTCCCCATCCTCGCAAATGGATACAGCGTAAACATTCATCTTTAACAATGGAGATTTCACGAAGACTACTCCGTAAAGTCAAGCTGACAGTCAAAGAAAGGACTCCAGCAGTCAGTCAGTGGGCAGCACAATTGGCTGAAATTTACTAGCGTTATTGAATATTGAAACAAAATTTTCATCATAAGATCCAGATCTCGAATGCTCGAGATAACTCGATTTCCAGCTCTAGCAGTACATACCTACATTACAATATTCTAAGCACTAATCGAAGTTAGAGTATCACTTTTGACTCATCTTAAATACTTCATGATACATTTTTAATATAATAAGTTCACTTTAGCAAAAGCCACTTTTATATAAATATCTTCAAAAAAACTAGATATTAAGTGATGACGTGATATAGATTTATGTAAAGAGTATCTTTTTGTGTATAATTTTTTTCAAATAAATTTGACTTAAACAAATTATTTATGATATGAACGTTGACTAAGAACGATCTGAGTTGAGAGTCTACATTAACAAAATATGTCTTTATTGATGTATAGGGTGGTTTACCCGCCGAGGTTAGTTTAAAATACACTAAATGAAGAATGAGGAGCCAAAAAGTAAAACTTCAAAGAGTGTAGTGACATTAGTAGGGGAATTATGAGTAGATGCACATAGAACTCAAGAATGAAAACAAGGTTCCTACAGTACCCTCCTACTCCTTTTGTGAATAGGCAGGCCAGCACGTTGCAATCCTATCCAATGCGTTATCGTAGAAAGGCAATATACTAAAAAATATAATTTTTTTATGAGAAAAATCAGCCATGGAAGGCCTTCTCGGATGTAAGTCGAGCTTTCGAGGTGAAGATCATGATTGTAATGTACTTCACCACAGGTTGGTGACATTGCGTGCATTGCGTGCCTCTCGAGGGGATTGCTGAAAGCAGATTTAGATCTTGATTCCTGTCCATGCATTTCACAGTGTTATGTTTGGAGGTACATAATGGTAGTGTACCTCACCAAAAGTTGGTGACATTGCGTACGGACTCTCGAGGGGATTGCTGGAAGCAGATTTAAATCTTGATTTCTGTCCATGCATTTCACAGATGCAGTCGAGACTTACCGCCATTTCAGCTCAGAACGGGCATTCGATATTTCTCTATATACGCTAATGGAAATGAAGGAACTTGCCAGGTTTCCATGAGAAGATGACCCGAAGAGTAGAATCATTCGTCAGGAAGAGTCCTAACAGATCATGGTCGAAATAACCGTACATAGAAACCGTCCCAAATTTTTGGCAATTTGGTTTGCAGAAAACGAAACAGCGTCAAACTTTCCTTTTCTGAACCATTCTCATGCTCTCGGACCACAAAGAAGAGTGAATCACTGACACTCCTTACAAGTATAATCCCCTTCAATGACAATCTTGGGGATCTGTGTTCAAATCTCCTTTCCCAGCATCGTTCCTGTACAATATATACGGTTAATCTCTCGTCCTAGTTCCCGTTTGGGGGCTATCTGATTTTTAGAATCAGTCCTACCATGTACATAAGGTCTATCTATCTATCTATCTATACTGCTGACAGTCTGACATGGCCCGAGTTGTCATCTAGACAATCGTATCAAGGCTCGGGACCCTGTGTCGGATATATGAATCGAGATCAAGCGATGATTTTCAAGTACTAAAATAATGTGCCTGCCTTTTTATCACTGATTCCAGCAATCGGTGTCACCCCGGGTGTCCTCCCTAGCAGCATCGAGGTCTTATGGAGAAAAATACCAGCATCTTGACGTTGATGAACAGGTAATCGCAGTACTCGTTCGATGGACTTCTCCACGTCTGCGTAGTAGCCAGCGCAGTTTCTATAAACCTCATACACAGCACCCATCTGAAGAGCCTGTGCCAAAGTATGCGCAAACAGGGACCCCAAGGTGACTGCTGCAGCTACAGAAGGACAGCTTGCCATGTTTAGTGCCACACCTGCTGTTGCCAGTAGAGGAGAGACGATGGACAAAATCAGGTTGATGATCTTCGCATTGTTGGCCAGATTTACGTATTCTGGTACGTCTGAATCGTGAAGAAGGTTAGCAGTGTGCTTGAGGTCTTCCACTACTGACGACGTCCATCCATTGCTAGGGGACTGCGAGGATTCTTCAACTTCAGGTCGAGATAGACCCAATTCGCCACTGAGCTGCGATGGACACACGTGCTTGGGGAACTTCTCGACCACGATTGGGGTCAGTGGCAGAGGAAAAGCTCGGTCTAGAGCATGCAAGGTGCCAACGGACTGCTCCCAGTAAGCCGACGCTTCTTCACGCAGTCTCGGATCGACGTCTAAAGTAGCTTCGACTTCAGCTCCCAGTCTCTTGAAGAAGCGAGCAGCATGTCGTTGCTCTTCGGCGAGCTGTGACGGCTGGAATTTGCTGACGAGGGTCATAAGAGCAGCTGCGCCCGTTCCGAGAATGATGGCCACCAGTTGCAGTCCCTGAGCAGTTGCGGCCCCGTTCAGAGACGAAGCTACGGCAGCAGAAACTGAGGTGAAAGTAATTGTATTGTGAAGCAGCCGATTCCAATTATCACGTTGCTGCGCTAGAATTGAATGCATCTCGACCCTGTCCGAAATCGCGACTGACAGGCCATCAAATTGGCTGACCAAACGCTGGGCTGGCATGCCGTTGCCATCGGTCCAACCCTTGCAGAAGTCCGCTTGACATTCCTCATGAAATTCGTCCTCACCGCCGACATTCTTTTTCACAGAAGTCGGAAGTGCAACTCGAATCAACTTCTCTCGCTTGGATCTTCGAAAGTGGGCACCGTGATGTTGGCTGCTGGCTCTTAATTTCGTGAGAGAAGATCGAGATAGTAACAACGAATGTCCGTCTGAGTTCAGCAGAGATGACACGGTGATGGTGGCCATCTGAGATAGCAGGTCTGGGAGATCAGCTCCAGACACTCACAGAGAAACAAGCGATCCACAAGTTGAAATTGTCGAGAAAATGTCGCCTCTGTGCTTGACGTAGAAAGAGCTTGCTCTACCACCTGGTCCTTCTTCGGTCTTCTTACCCGGGTGGTTGTTATGTTCCTACTTGCAGGAATGGAGATTTGAGCTTAGTCGGCAGGTCTTTATGCCTGCGCTTCGTCTTGGAGACATGGCGAGCATCGAACAGGTCAACGACGCATCAGGACCCTATATGTCTGGGAAGAAGTCAGGGAGTACTGAACGGGCTGCATTTGACGATGGACCTCTTCAGGTCAAGCTGGTGTTGCAGGCCTGAAAGGAAATGTTTGGATGTTGTGAAAAGGATCTGCAGTAGACTAGATCTCGTAAACGACCAACGCGCAGTGGACAGGAATTGCCACTTGACAGCATGATTTCGGCCAGCATCGTCATCATCTGCTGACTTTTGCGTTGTAAGTCTAGCTGACGTAAATCGATGCAAGGCTGAGCGAACAAAGCGAATCTGAGAAGCCAAGAGAGAATCTGTGGGGAAAAATGCTCGCTGAGTGTTGCGCAAGTACTGTTGATACTTTGAAGTACCTTAGAATGTACAGCAGCAATCTGTTTCTCCTTCTGCTGCCTCTTGTTCTTCTGCTGCTTCTGGAGGCCTGCAAAGAGTCGTTAAATGTAGTCCTTTTGTCACGTCCGGTGTACAAGATGAAAATTAACTTTAACGAATCTTAAGTTTGAACAAAGTTCTTGGAATGTAGCTCGAATCTACAAGTTCGACTTAGGGTATAATTGTTTTGGTACCGTGTTCTCACTTTTCCCACTTATCCTTCCCACATCATGTGAAACAAGTTCCACTACGTACCTTCAAGTCACTTGAAGGTACAGTTGCTTGAACTCTGAAGAGCAGGTCTTCAAGAATATGTCATCTCCAGACTTTCGCCTACTCTTAGAGTGATTGTTAGCAAGTCTCAACACATTCAAGGTTGAGAGAACACAGCAAAGACTGTGATTTTCGGGAAGAGTCTGGCGCTCGCTGGGTATGGTAAACGCTCTGATATCTTCTAGTCAGTCCGCATAAAGTACAGTTATCAGTTGCAGCAACTCTAACCGGTTCCTTCTTCTGCTCCTTCCGAGGGTCAGCCTAGAGTTTAGAAGTATACCCTGTATTGTCCTCCGTAGTACGCAATAAACGCTGAATTGGAATTGATACATAAGTCTAGAATAGCAAGCTAAGGTGTTCAATGCAGCAAGTACGGGTTTGGATATTGGTTCGGTGCCAAAGTCTCACTTTTTCCACAAACGTTTCCCAGATTGGGACTGACTGTCCTTCAGTACATTCTCGTCCCGACAATGTGCAGTTGACCAAGTTCTGTAGGCTTCTCTCGCGCAGGACTTCAAGTATATGCCTTCTCCAGACTCTTCCCACTCTCCATACTATGGTTGGCAAGTCTTTACATGTTTTTGAGCATAACTAGTTCCCATTCTTTTCTTGCGCATAGTAAGCATCATGAAACCCTCTCCATGATCTTACATTGCCAGAAAAAAAGTACGCTCAAATTCTCAGTAGTAAATAGGCTGACAAGGCAGAGTCTCGGCACACTGGTCATGACATCTGCAGCTGCGCCCGAGTCTCAACAGTTGCTTCAGTTGTAAGTACGCAGTCTCCTCGCATGGCGTTAATAACAGCTGGACCAAGCACACGTGATCGTCTTTCCCGTGCAACTGATAATTGACTTGTTTTCCAATCGAAGGGCAAATCTTCTGATTCATAAGTCAAGAGTGATCTTCGCATCGAGCACTCTCCTTCGCGCAGTTTTCCCTGGCGCCTGATTTAAACTCTAGAAGTCTCTCGATGACTGATTCTAACCAGCGTATTCACAGAAAACGAGTAGGGCTTCCTTTGTACTCGTAAGCACAGGAAGGCACGCCAAGTTTCTGAAACAACCTGAACACTTACATGCTACCGTATTCCAAGCCCTGGTTGAAAGTCTTCAGATACTCAGCTCAACTTCATTTGATGAGTGCACGAGTACGATGCACTTGCTCTGCACTTGCTCGATGCTAAGAAATGAGACTCCTCGGTTCCCATTTTAAAGTTTGAGCTGGACTTCATTAATCTCAAGATTGGGAAAAAAATTTCCAATTCCTGAGCTGCTCATTTCACGTTACAGTTTTTTGTCGTGGACTTTGTCCTGCTCTTTACTGTTAAATATATAATGGAACCATACTTTTGTTCATTTCCACTGCAGGTTGAAAAGTGTACACACCAAGCAAGCTTGGAGAAGAAGCAGTCGAAGGAATGGAACAGTAATCTAACGAAGATTTCCTCAGCACAACCTTCCTAAGTGTGACATCGGAGTTCCAACATTTCCGTGTAAGTTATCACTCTATTACATATATCTGATTAACTCTTTGTTTACTGACTTGCACCCCAAATTTGGAAAACACCAGCTGTTAATGCGAATAATGACTCAAGGCGGAAGATTGTCTGCACTTACTGGAACAACTTGGCAGAATCACGTTTTGTACGGTACAGAAGAATTGACCTATGCTTTCTTATTTCCTTTTCATCATAAAATCCATATTAAAACAATTTATTGCAATAAACTTTTGCCAGCTTGAAATTCTGTCCTCAAACATTTGGATTCTGGAGCATAGGAGCATAAATCTAAGTATGCTCCTTAGTTTAAGACTTACTTGTCAAAGCAGAGCGCTCTCATGAGCTGATTCCACCTCATTCTTCACTAAGTCGCGTCAAACGACTGTGAACAGATATCATCATTACCATTCCAGCAGATGAAATTTCGTTGATATGGAAGTATGAATGATGTTACTGTGTATGTTGAATAACATCAGGTTCATAGGATTGTTTACAAGTAAGATTTATGGCATTCAAGATGCCATGCCCTCTACGAGAGTTATTGCTGGAAGCGAGTGCCCAGAACACAGACTCTGTGCTGGTCAAGGTGGTGGTAGAAAGAGAGCAGCTCAGGAAACGACCAAGACGTGCGTCAATCTCTTTAGTTCAGTTGTTAAATCTGAGCTCTCTTACATTCAGATACATCGGTCAAATGGTACTCATGCTACTCTACATCCTACATGTTTCAAAAGGTACAGTTCGACCAGAAGTATACTTACTAATTTCTGCAACAATCAAATGGTAGTAGATTATAACTTGCCAGGACTGTAGAAAGCTACGGCGACTGTACAAGAAATGAACAGATGAGAGCAAGTGAAAATATCAGCACATGATGAAAGCGACATAATTAAATCGAGGGATCGAATAGAGAGAGACCGCATTTATAAATCTCACTTGAATTTGAGGTAAATTGAAGATGACAATTTCGTGCGCTACTCTGTGGACTGCTCCCACTCACACGACATGCACACTAAGAAAACAGAAACTCCCCACCGTAACCCAACCATTCCAAGTCCAACATGTATAACGATAGAAAGATATGCACATTGTTCTTATTCATCATCCGATTGTAGTTGTACATGGTTGGAAAAATTGACAATTTGAAAAACTAAGAACATCTACATAACGAGTGTCCGAGGATGAGTTGAGGATGGCGTACATCCATTCCTCCCTTGGATTGTATCACAGTGGACATGAGCAACTGACGGAATCAAATCCTTGCACTTTCTCAGCGAATCAGTTGCCTGTCACATCTATCCAGGCCTTCCTCCGTCCCTCCCTTGCCTTCGGCTGCGAATGAATTGCCTCAGAAAGAATTGTTCCTCGTCATCTTTTCATTCAGGGTCTTTTTCAGTTCCTCGACATGTATCGCAGTTTCCGGAGGGTGGCGATTGATGACAGGGTGTGTGGGAGCAGACATGGCTGAGCTCTCCGTAGCATCTAGAATCCTCTCTTCTTGGCACAAAGCGCATGGATGGCAGAACATGTGCGTGTGAAGGTCGGAATAAGGGTCCATCGGAAGGTTCTTCTTCCTCCGAAGCTGTTCTCTGAATGGAGCGGCGTAGAAAGGCAGACAGCAGCACCAGCATAAGCAGCCTCCCATGGCAAATTCTGTCAAACAACCTTTCATGAACGAGGTTTGGCCATCAGTGATTCGATTCACGTTCCGTCCGAACAACACGCACGGACAAAACGTACCCCACGCACACGTAATTGGATCCTTGATCACCTGCTTAATGTCCAGCAAATCCGCGCTCCATTGAAACTCTCTCGCACCCATGATTCCTTCCTCCTGCTCTACTAACCACCAATCAGAATTGAAGTCAACTAAACAAGAAAAAACGAAACTCGCCTCGAAGAGACTAATTTATGTTTCCCGATCTAGACGGACCCCGATTTCGCAGCTCAATTTCGGCAGATATCCGTTCTTCACTGCTGCAATGTTGCTGTAAGCTCAACTTTCAGATGAATGTGTGCCCGATCTGTGTTCTAGATACTCGTGGATGCCCCGTATAATTCCCCAACACAACCTTAGCTTTGACTGATCGGAAGTCTGATAGGCCAATTCGAGCTCGAGCGCGACTGCTCCGATGATAATTTCTAAGCATTTCCCGTGAGTCTGAATGTCGGGTGAGGAGATTCTGCTCGCGTTCAAGAAACAGAGATGAAGTCTCTGTTTCTTGAAAGGCAGATGCTGAGTAGGCGCAGGTGCCTACTCCACGTACTGGAGAATGGAGTAGCAGGACGACATGTGGATGTGGGGAAACTCGCGGGGCACTGCCATGTGGCTGCAATCCTATGTACTTTTGTTTAGAGGGGTTGAATGCCATGTCTGTGTACTGGTAGCGAGCCAGCGTAACGTTGGGACTAGTTGGTGACGGTCTTCGAGAGATACCTGGTTCGTTGTGGTGGCAACTTGAACAGCGAATACCACGTCTCACTGCGTTCATTCGTCTCTCGTGGAAGGGAAGGTTTGAGCAGCCGATTTGTCAACATACGCTTCTGACACGAGGCCAACAGCTAATTTTGATGACTTCCTTTGTTATCAGGTACAGCCATTCCCAGCGCACCATTTTATCGTAAAGTTGACTAAGGATTAACATGAACAACAAGTCTCCGGGTCGTCAGGTTATGCTTTTGCTCATATTTCCTCATTTTGAAATATCTGAAACATTTGCAATTTCTTTCAGTTTGGAGACGGTTTGGTGAATTGAAAAATAAATAAATTTTTCCCTTCATAAGAATGAGTAAGAATACAAGTCAATAGGGATAGCTCAACAATAATTGACCGTTTTGAAAGTAAGATTTCAACGCATTAAATAGAGTATAATTTATAAAGGTTTGAAATTTTATGGCAAATTTAGGTGAAGTTTTTGTGATCTTATTACATCTATAAATACATTTAAATAGCAAGTTCAATGATAATATGGTAGATATGATATGAAAAATAAGAATATTGTATAAAAGTAATAATTTGTCGAAATATTTCATTCAATCCAAATTTTCATCTAGAATTATTAACAAAACATAATTTCAGTATAATATTCTATCAAAGTTTCCAGTAAGATATGGATCTGCATAAGATCACAGTACATTTTAAGTCAACAATAGTTTGAACCCTTTCCAACTTGCCAAATATCTACTATCTATGATATTTATCTACAGAAAAGTAACAAGAAAATGCTCATTCTAGCGTATATCTGAATCCATGTTAAGATTTGACTTTAAAACATATCCTATATGTATCTAAAGATATTTCACAATCAAAAAGAATCGTTCGCACGTCAAATATATTTTTTCTGATTCATGTTTGCAATTAATTGAATTTCATTTTATTCTCACTTTGTATAAAACATTCTTCAATAAAAAAATAATAAAGCTCATCATTATGACTAAATATTTTCAATTAGTGGGTTTTAGGTTGTATGCATACAGTTTAAGCTCAAGTATTAAATATTTCTTCTTTTTAGATGAATTGAAACTCTATAATCTTGACAGTACATAAATATGTTTGAGTCATTAGTTGTTTTTTTTATCTTCAATTTGCACTCAAACCTGTTTATTTAGAAACAACTCATTTTACAGGTCAATTTTTTTCAAATACTCAATTGAACTTCAAGTATTATCAAACATAAAACTGCAAAAATCAACTTTTGAAAATCACATCAAAAGAAAAATAATTATTATTTTGCTTAAATATTGCGTCACTGTTAAGGTAAATATCTTTTATAGAACACACTATTTAATATCATATGCTTTACATATTGAACTCAAAATGATATTAATTCTTCGAAATACTAATTTGATTATGTTATGACAAAAGATAATCTATGTAATATCCAATTTAATTTGAAGGTAAGTCATATAATATACCTTTGACACTAAAATACTCACATTATATACAAGTAATACTTTAGTACTGAGAAACGGTCCCAAACGGATAACAAAAACGGATGGGAAGATGTTCAGCTTGATATGTTTTCTCCATCGTGTTGGTAGTGCCTCACATTTTTTTCTGTGCATGGGGAACCAAATCTTAGATCAGTCATACGCCCCATTAACGAAATAAGGCATTTGACCCCTCTGGTTTCTACGAGGAGAATGTGCAGAGGAAGTTGACGCAATTTGTGCCTGAAACGCAATGAGCGTAGTCAGGCGAAGATTAGCGCAATTAAAGCGAAATTAAGTCTCTCTTGTGCTCTTTGACAGGGCTACGGTGGGGCATCATGGGCGATTCTCTGACTCACTGGATTCCTTTCTCGCATGAAATTCGAAAGTTTGCGGTGAGATTTAGCCCAATGAAGGAAGCTTTTAAGCCTCGACTCGGAAACTAATTTTTGGACTCCGGTTTGGGTGCTAATCGGGCTGAAGTGTAGCTCTTCGACTTATTGCTACTCTTCTGGGGCAGTCAGCGCTATGGCGTCTTTAATTTACTCGCCGTCGCTCACGATTTGCCGACCGTCTGTTTCTTTAAATCTGAAATCTCCGACTACAAGAAGTTATGACAGTCAACATTCACGAACTGGCTCTTTGATCCCTAGAAGCAAACGGAGTGCCTTGAATTTAGGAACGAATTTTGTAGATTGTGTGGGTTGTTGGACGTTGACGCAGAGAGCAGATTTGCTCCATGAATCTTCGAAAGCTTTGCGTAGAAGACAGCCGGGTACGGCAAGGGCTGGACTTCCAGTTGTCTCGAGCATTCCAGTTCTAGGTCCAGTGATAAACGCGGTTCTCAATCCTATCGTATTGATGATTATTTATCTTGCAGGAGGTATGCCAACGAAATTCGCCCTTCTTCTATTTGCTGAATGTTGAAATAGAGGGAATATCTGCAGACATTGAATGCAGTCTTTGACGGTTGCAGTAGAAATTTCGTCTCTTGTTATGAGTGGGTCATCGTATGAGTGATTTCAGTAAACAAGTCTCTTCAAGTCTAGTCCACCCTGCGAAACATGTGCTCGTTTGAAGATATACCTTGTGGCATTTCTCTAGTTTCCCTATACATATTTTGTACTACGCAATGTGGCTCATCTCAAGTGCCTCCCAGTTCTGTCCTACTTCTCCTTGCTTTTCTGCACCTGGTGCTCATAATCCGTATAGGCCATGCTGTCTTCACGAAGTGCAAGTGGACTGCAGTAATTAGGACGCACATTCTAACGATTCTATTCTGCGTTAGTTCAGGAGGCCTGCCGCTTTCCCTGTCTTTTAGCTTAAAACTTGTTTTCTTCTGAAACAAAAAAGAATTTACTTCAGTTCAAGGTTAGGAGAAGGTTTTGCCAAAATGTAAGTTATGTGGATAACATACCACGTTCTAAGTGGACACTTAATTTTTAATTTCAGGCAATGAGGTCAGAGTTATCATGAAGATGCAGAGCTGAAGGCAAATTTGGTTTAACTTGTGTTCTGTGCAGCTTCAAGATTTTGGTCGGGGTTTAATAGAACAACCTACACTAACGCAACACCTACCAAAGTGGCATTAACGGCTTTGTGGCCAGGTATGCATGTGAGAGGGTGCGGATATAGGTCGAGTTCATATTAGTCGCTAGTAGATAATATGACTAGTTTCAATGTATAAATGCAAATTTCTTTTGTTCTAGTAGTTGATAAAAGTCTCAATTGAAAATAGAGTTTCTTGTTGGGGAGTTCTGGGAGAGTGTAAACTTCCTCCCAGTCTCAAATATTAAGATTTTCCTTGAGTCTGTTGGTGACTTTCTCGTTGAAAGTTGTGGAGCTATGGAATCAGTCATCACCCAGAACCTTATTATAATGTGATATAAGATCCTTCATCCCATTTGTAATCTTAGTTGCCTCACATGGGCGTGAAGGTTTATCTCTAGGTTGTGTTGAGCATTGTTTCCATTCAGAACCAGCTTTTTCTCATCCAGAATTCATAGCCTTCATAAGGTAGTATTACTTGAATAGTTTAGGAATGCATCACGCTGCTAGAAAATTTATCTGTTTTTGTTTGTCTTGTGCAGCATTATATGTTGCGTCAAAAGCATATCGAGCGAACTTTAAGAAAGCTGTTCTCTAGACATTGAGGTAGTTTCTCACTGGATTCCACGAGTATAGCATTGCAGCATTCGCAATTGTAAATCAATTTATTTCTCTGAAAATGCATATTGCTTATAAAGAATCAAATTCTTCCTGGTTTACTTTTCATCTTCCCTTATGTTTGAGGGAATCATTTGATAAATATGATGGGAATGCATGGCGCTACAGATATCTCTTTGTTTTCACAATCGGAACTGTTTATATACAATTTCCCTTCAAAAGTGATGGTCCTTCAATTTACAAGGATAACTATCATTCTCTACTAAATATACACATTCCAAAGAGTCGGTTGCAAAAACGCTTGTTCTAGCCTCGTGCCCGCTTGTTCACATTCAAATCTGCCTATTAGCTGCCTTGTGGGATTCAGTCTAAAGGTGCAGCATTTTATGATGTGTACCATGACAGACGCTTTAGGGCCTGCAATGTCCTTTCACTTCAATTGACTTGTTCTTCAGTCACCTTCTGAAACTTCCTGAATGCAGGTACACAAGTTTTGTTACCTTATGTCTGTTATATTTCAACTAGGATGTCTAGTGTCGCAATATGCACCCTCACCTTTCATTCTTGTCAATGATCATTTTAACCTCTGACCATAACATAGGCTAAAGTGTACGATTTTGCACCCAAAGGCATACTATATTCGGAGATACTATTGTTTCTTTTTCTGTCATTGAGCATACCTTCAGTGAAGAAGATGCAGTAGTCCTTATTTCTCATTTCTGGTTTTACCCTGCTTCAACGAAACTCGATGCAGCCGTTATGTTCGAATAGTTCAAAGTTGCTAGATCGACTTGTCAGAAAACTTTCAACTTGAACAGAACGATCTGAAAACTAGACATCGGGACATTCCCGAGCAAAATGACCTTTGGCCTCTGTTCTTAGCTTCTTCCTGCGTAGTTCCACATAATGCCCCAGAAGATCCCAGTCCAAGTAGACCCACCAAATAGCGTATCAAAGTTAACCTCGCTAACCAGGACGCTAGTAGATTCTAGATACTTACATCTGGACTCCGCAGTACTTGCTGTCATGGTGGTGCAACACGGCGTGTTGCTACATGATGTAGATTTACCCTACAAACATATCAAAGTTGCTTAAGCTAACCACGCTGCGACTTTAGTCTTCATACTTGTAGGTTCGTACACAGTCCCACCTTGTCATAATATGAAAAAAAATGGCTGCTTTCGGAATACGCTTGATTCATGTGCTTCTACATGATGTGGATTTACCCCATGTAGTATCTGGTCTTTTCTTGTTATCCACCGAGTCAGTCACAGCGATGGCATTTGTACATTGCCACATGGTGGTGCTTGTTCCCCACAATATTTTCCATTCGTTTGTTGTAGCATATTGTAGATTCTTTACAATTATATTCAAGATTTCATGGTTAACCATGCCGTGAGTTATGTAACTCAGTAGCATCAAGACTTCTTGATTTGCCTCCGGTCAAAGCGACGTATACTCAGGCTACTCTATTTGCACCGTACCCTATTTTAGTCGTGGATATCAAAAGATGACGGCTTCATTAAATTATGAGGAATATAGAGGAAATGAGATCATGCCAAAAATAAGAGAAGAGTTTACCGAACAAATTATGTTCTTAGGCTGAAATTTCAACTGGGAGAAGAACCCGTGAACAATAATAGGCAAAATATTCCGTTATCAGGACGAGTAGTATCGAGTGTGTGGTTTCAAGATGTATAAGCACCGAGAGCCTGTAAGCGAACTCAGGTTAAAACTTGTATCATGAACGCTAATGTTGTGGAACCGTTACAGTTATTGTACTCACTCGAACCAGCGCTAATACATCTGAAAATGCTGAACTTAAAACCCAAATGCACATGCATTTGTAATATTCTATAATAGTCACTATACCCCAGTACCGTGATCATGTCAACGGAATGACCTTACGTATACTGCAGAGTAATGATTCTTCATCTGAGTTCATAGAATCCATGTGATATTGGTTCCCAATCAGACACTTGCACTATTGTTATAAATCCGTTCTCGGCAGTAATATAAATTACTGGAACTGAAAAGCCATCGCATGCAGCTTACTGTGATCAACATACTTAGATCTTTGATTCAAAATTAGCATAACTTATAATGGTTCGAGATAAACACATTTATACCATCCCTTAACCAAAATTACGAAATGTGAACCAACTGAAGGTCTTCAATTCATTCAGCCCTAAACAAAGCAAAGATATCAATCAGACTAGACGTAGGCCGATCAAGCAACTGAAACACTGATCTCTCGTACTCCCCAATCTAGCCAGATACATGCTATATCAATATATTGTTGGTTTTGAGTTCGTACCACAATGGGCATTTGGTTAAAAGTGAAATTATGCTTGTTGTAATATCTTATCTTCAGTTATTCTAGTATGTATGCGTGATCGGATTGCATCGAGCTCTATAAATACACCTCGCTGCAAGCCTTTCACTTATTTACATACTGTCGAAGAAGAAAGGGCCCTCACTTGACTTGAGCGATCATGAGGCTTCTCATTTCAACAATTCAGATGCATAGTAGCAAAGATCCTGAATCATCGGGAGAGCAATGATGGAGAAATTAATACTTTCCTGGTCATGCAGGAGACGTGGAAGTGGAGTCTGAACCGTATAGCATCAATGATGTTACTGCAGCTCTAGGGAGTTGCAGCGAGAGTCATTTTCACAACAGTGAAGACCAAACTCGTGCTGGGTTCACATCGCTCTACAACACATTGTATAAGGTGAGCAGAAGATTCGGTTCACGAGTCTAGCACAGCAGTCTAACATACCCAGATGTATGATCCATCATTCAAAGCTCTCTACTACTCAAAGTTGTTAATGAATGAACATCAATAGACGGCGACATTCTAGCTTCGCCTTCTGGCATGACTCTCAGAAGGCGAATTATCTGATGTTGAGCAATTCACTTCCTACTTTGTATAACTTAATGGCAGTAGTTCTTCCCGTGCCATGGTGTGGACCAAAGGGCCTCAGCTTTATGCTCAGAAGAGGGAAGAGCGAGCTTGGCCACCAAATGCATGCTCGGCAATCAAAGCGTTTGATTCTTTAGGTTGAAGGTTGGTGGACGTGGATCTTTCGCATATCGGGTGGTAGAACGTACGTGTTATTCCAGTGCTAGCTTTTTTCAAAGTTATAAGTGCTGTCATTGTCAACTGGTTGCTTTCAAGGGCTGTACTATGCAAAGTATACTTCTGAGCTAACATCAGGCAGTCTTTTTGATTGCATGAATGAGTAACTTATGCTATCAGTTGTATTCGGGTCTGAGGCCATCAACCAAAAAAAGGAATTATTTTTTGCATCTTTCCAATGTCCACTACCACTTACAACCAAAAGCGCCACAGAACCCGTTCTCTGTCAACTCTGTACTTCTGCTCAAACTCATCCTCATGTAATGTTCAACAAGATATCTTGAGGACCGAAGAGATTGTGATTAAACTAAGATAATCAAATGGTGAAACATGAAGCCTCGGTGTGATGAATAACTGAATCTGACTTACTAATCGGCATCTCATGCTCGGTCATCCTTTCCCTCCGTGACTTTTGCAGCTTTCTGATGTGAACTTCTTCTCCGTCTGTCTCGTACAAAGCTCTTTTCACCCCGATCTATGTGGACCCTAAAATCCAAACGTTTCGTCAATCAAACGTCTTGATAAATCTCATGTCGAAGTATTACAGTAGACTACACTTGAGTTACAGTTTGTCACCATTCGTAGTCAGGGTCTAAATTAGATAAAACTTAAATATGAAAATTTTCTCTAAAACTCGAAGTGAATCAGTCAGTATGATACCTCTTCGTTTTCTCTTGCAGAATATCTGCACAGTCCTCAAGTTCACAGCTTATCGTTTGTATTTACGCAAAACACCATCTTAGTCTGACCCTAAGAGTTCGTACTCCTGTGTATTGACAAAGTTCATAGCAAGTTGTCTAAGTTGCAAATTTGCGACCTCCTCTGTATTCTCCTTACTATTTGATTTCTAGAGAGATTGTGGAGATGATCGCGGCAGGTACACCGATTATTCTCGGTCATTAGATCTTAATAAAGTACATCAAATCAATAGCAATTACCTGTAATATGTAGAACCACATAACAGGTTTTGAATATATCCAAATTCGAGCTCATTGTTTGGGTATGGCAATTGATGACAATCAATAAGATCTCAAAGTTAGCTTTGCATCGAAGTCACTATGTCGTGCAATCAGATCCAGTCAAAAACTTAGTCAGACAAGGGCCATTCTCCTGAAGAAGAGAAGATTGTAATCAAAAGCTTACATTCTTCTGAATTCTTCTGCATTTAAACCTGTTGAACTTGGTACTTTCAACTCATTTGCAAGCATCTCAATCAGATGGATTACAAAAATAGCTTTAAAACTACATGTGGACATTTTAGTGTCTTAAATAACTCACTAGTCTACAATGAGCAAGAAAACTGCACTCTTGTACAATAATCTCCACAGCTCAACTACATTATGTGTCATTCAATGAGTGGTGGGTACAGATATATACACTGCAAAAAATGTGACATGTATAACGGGTCCTATGTCTACTTTGATTCCTTGTCTGGTGGCTGCTCTTCAGTTGAAGGTTTCTTTTCCCTCTTGCCTTCTCTACTGAGCTGCAGGTCAAGTAGACGAAGACTTATGTTTCGCAATGATTGAGCATCTGTAGCAGTGAAATAATAGCCGGCAGCTACCTTCTTATCTGATTGAAGGCTAGGAGGTGGAGTTGAAGATGCTTCGCCACTAAGACTCGTAGAAGCCTTAGACTTAGAGTCGATTCTACTAGTGCCTGAACATGGATCTGGATCTTGAATACTTGCTGAGATTTCAGCGAGACTATCTCTAAAAATTCTCACAATGTCATGGATCTGTTTCTCTAATTGATGGATTGTTCCACGCAAGAATTTTTTCGGAAGGTCCTCCTTTGGAGTGCTAAGACCCCTCAGAATACGACGTAGTAACTCCAGCCATGCTATAAGTTGCAGCATCTGTGCGTCATGTAACTTCTGATATTCACACAAGCGCAAAATTTAAGGCATTCAGGAATCAGCACAAACGTCAAATTGAATCAAGTAAGCTCTTAAGCCCTCACATTTAGTTAAATCCAGTGAATATTCGGACATTGTTTAAAAACTAAACTAAACTAAACTAACTAAATCGTTGTGTACTTTTACAGAACGAGGACAAAAAATCTGTCATTTGAAAGCTGGCTTTGTTTTCAACAGTTTACAGCAAATTAGAAATGTATAAATAGTGGAAGAAAATCTCACCTGCTTAGTCCTCTCGAGCAGGAATTCGTTGATTATTGTCAACTCATTGAAGTGGAGATCTCTAAGCTGTTTCAACTGTGTGGCCAGCAATGTTTTACAATGTCAGATGGAAGTGTAGAATCTGCAGAAACGTCTACCTTTAAACATACCATGAGGATACTACGCGCCAACATATTTCCTTACAAAGGACTTCCAAATCAGTTTTTCTGCGGCCATGCTTACTCTACACGTAGGTAATAAGCACAAAGTTTTAACTTGTCAGAGAAGCTTACCTTTGGCCAGACCTCGTCTCGATTTTCGAATAATACTTTCGAAGGAACATTCCTATGTGTAACATCGCGTGCATCTGATTTCACAAATGTCATCGTGCCGTTTGAGAATCTAAAGATTATCATCTAAACTCGTCTTATGATACATTGCTCAAATTACTTCAGCTATGTATCATCTGCTTCTTTGCAAGGCCATATTTCTTAATGTAACTCACCTGGTAGTTTCATCCGATAATTATGTGCAACTTGGAACTTGTCTTTGTGTTGTGGATTTGTAGGTTGCTGCATAAAACCAAATCGTTTCAGCATGATGTTCATCATGTTATCAATCTTTTCTTGCATAAATTCTGATATATTTCATTTGAATATCCATCCACTCCAAAACAAAATGTGATCTTTACTCTAGAACCTCACTTCTCTATTCCAACTTCAATCAATATACAGACTTTACCATCTGATGACTTGACAATGAACATATGGATATACAATAAACCCGAGGATGTCAATCAAGTCACATATTGAACTAAATTAAAATATATTTTTTGTAGATCACTCGTTGCTTTCACATATTTGGCAAACCAAATCTCAATTCCTTCTCCATGAGTCTCTCGATAATTTTACGACTTTGCTTATAGTTTTGTGCTGAATAAAACCTGAAAAGTCGTCTTGATTTCCGTTTCCAAACTCAAGACTTGAACAACATAAGCTGCATCAAGTATACAAAAGAAATAGAGAATTATAATATGTCAATCACAAAAGACTAATTATAGAAACATCTCTTGTATCAAAAAAGAACATGCTTATTTGAATATAAAATTTTCTTATGGGAATAATGTTTTAATCAAAACGCACCTAGCGAAACTGACTCATAAAGAATACTTAATTTTGTTGACGAGCTTGCTTGAGATACTTGAGCAGATCGATGCTTGTAATTTTTCTTCTCAAGTCTGTATAAATTCATAGATACTTTTTGATGATAATCCTGCTGCAAATAGACACCTTTTAGACCAATCTACCTAGAAGTACACGTCTTCCTCTTTCAATAATATACCAAATACAATCTAAGTATGTCAAGCATGATATCAAAGTAATTTTTGAATTTATGTATAGAGATCGAACGGAATATGTTGCGTTTGATGCACTGTACTTCAAACATCAAAAAATGACATACCTGATTGTTTGCTGACTTGAAGATTCGTCGTTCAATCTTTCTTGATCTTGCCAATATTTTGAACAACCTGTCTGGTTTTAAATGCGGTTGATGTTTGACAATTGTCTCCAAACTGCAATACAATAAAAACTCAATCACTTCACAATATAGCTTTAAGATTTGTCTTAAATGGTCAATCTACCAATTAGATGAGTAAATCTCTTGAAGTTATCTCAGTCATCAGAATCTTATTCTCTTATCTAGTATATATTAAATATTTCTTATCTGTATATGAGTTTGTCCATTAAATAATTCAAAGATTTATAATTGACTTGGAACTCTATTATAATGGATGAAAAAGTCAAACGGATGATATCATAGGTAAATCTATTCCACAAGATAGATTTGAAGATATAAGGAACATTCATTATTATCCGCGCTGAATGGAAGTAAAATCAAAACTGTCTGAAAGAATGATTAAGACAACTTATCCATACTCACGGAAGAAATTTTTGTAGACTTTCAACTAGACTCTTGGTTTGATATAGTCTATGGATCTTGTCTCATAGTATAATTGAGTTGATTATTTATATACAGAGTCTCAGCTAAGAAAAGATGGTGTTTCATCACACGAAAATCTTTCTATCGAAATTCCTTACTGATATAAACCATCTCCTACAAACACTGTCGGAGAGATTTTCTTGCATTATGTCTCATTAGAAACTATAAGCACAATTTTCTTCTACATGATCTTTAGCTAGATATGTAGATGAAAATTTGAGTGTACAGATTGTCAAATACTTGTCATCTCAAGAAGAAAATTCATTTGATGATTATAATCAAGCCTCATCATGATCTTGAAAATTACTATCAGTATAACTCATAATTATATTTGAATTTAAAATTTTAATTATAAATATAATATATATTCAAGAAAATAATAGTGAGAACGAGAACTATCGCTGAAGTATAGTTTGGAACGGTTTTAAGATCCTATGGAAGTTATTAGGAAGTATATTCCGACAATGCTTGTAGATTAATACACGTCTATTAATCTACAAGCATTGTCGAAAATCTATGTATGAAGCACGACATTAAATCGATAAGAGCGAAATTGCAGTACTTGACTAAATTTTCTGACTAGAGTCAATATAAATCATTTCTTTTCTCATCGGACTAATATCCTGACAATTTACTGGTGCTGTTATAAGTTCCACGAAAGCTTTGCTCGATGGGGTGGTGAACAAATTGAAATAATGGCTATAATACAGAGATATATACGTATACTTTTTAAGCACATTATCATAATTTGCTACCCATAAATACACCATGATCCTACTGATATGGTCCACATTATTTACTTACAAGCTTTGTACAGACTGATGTCGAAATTCTGTGAACTCATCTTCTTTCTTCCACGATTTATCCTCCATGTTTCATAAGGAAAATCGCAAGAAATGCAAGCTCCGCGGTGAAATACAAGACGGGCATTCTGAAAGAAATGAGCAGGTTCTGCAATTGAAACAACTGAAATTGTAAAAGATTTCAACAACAACTCAGTGATAATATTCTTACACTAGTTGCAAACAATCTATAGAGTTCGATCATATTCTTCAAGGCAAAGTGGCATTTCTCACCAAATGAAAAGATATGTTATACACAAAGACCACATCAGTTCTCTCCCTTCGATCAATGATATTCTCATATATATTTTCCAGGTCAAATTGAATTACCTGCCTTTGCTGCGAAAATTTCGACCAGTTTCTCACCCTTCTTTGTGCAAAATCATCACAAATTGGTACTTCTCATCCATTGTACAAGTTACGACGCTTGCCCTATGCTTCGTCGTATTCATTCCACCTGCATTTGTTTTCGATCTTTTTCCTTTTCCCCCACTTTCAAATGTAAACTTCTAGCTCGCAATCATCTCATGTAACAAGAACATCTCGTCCATTCTACAAGATACCTCCTCTCTATCATTCTTCCTGCTCATGCGCTTGTCTTCATCTTCATTGTACAAGATACCACCTTCGTTGGTTACTACCTCTCTATCATTCCTCCTGCCCCTGTCTTCATCTTTTTCTTTTCCCCCACTTTTATACGTAAACTTGTAGTCGGCGATCCGTCCCCTACAACAATGACCTTCAAGTTGGTGCTTGGTCGATCTTTCGGCATGCTGATGTATCGCTGTCACCAACTTGTTGCTCGCTGTCAAGTCGCCCGGGACTAACTGTTGCACTGTTGCACGGCGAGTTTTCTTCTCGATCCTTCGAATAAGTTAAAGACATTTAGAATATTCTCATCTCATCTTTCGTCCTTGCACATGAAATTAAGGTGATTAAAGATAATATTCATAGAAGAAACAATGGATACAGACATTTGTAGATTTTATATGATTGTACAGACTCTTATAAATAGAAGAAATTTGATATCTTCTCCCTTTATGATTGGAAAAAGACTTATATATATATATATATATATATATATAGGATGTGAATACAATATTATATCAATTAGGAGTATTTTTAAATCAGTCGAGTGAGATGAGCCAAGGATGTAGGAGATGAGTACTTCTTTTTTAGTTTTGTCTACTCTAACTACACAATACATTACATATGCGATTTTTGTTGAAATCACGTTGACATGTCTCACACGGTTACTACAATTAACTGAAAATACTCTTAATCGGTTGATATGGAAGATGTGAGTTACGTGAAAGATCATCAAAATCTAATGACGACGTTAAGATAAAATGATTAAGCGTTCTGAATAATTCACGAGTAATTCACCAACACAAATATATATAAAAACGTGAGCGCAAGAGAGCACAAGCAAACGTTCCCACACATAAAACGCCAACAAAAACATACAGTAATACATAGTTTGCCATTGCAGACTACGTTGATGAAATTAGACCTCTTTACTTCAGTAAACATAAAAGTGTTTTAGCAATTTTTCGCTAGCTATATTTTATAATGAAAAGAAAAACATAACCTAACTAGAATTAAGTTACTTAATTTCTAATTCAAACATCAGTTAATAAAAAAATCTCCGCCTTGACTCATATAGTGGATAATTGATTCCATAATCCAAAAATTATGGAAAAATCCTAACATAGACTACTTTTTGAATTAAAGCTAATTAGAATCAAGTCAAAGCCCAAAAAACTAACAGTTTAAAATATATAGAGGTGAGAAAATTACTGATAAAACACACATGTTCCACTCATATTAAACATTTAGAGTAATAGAATATCTCCTAAAACTCTTTCAAAAAAACAACTTGGATTGAATAGACTATTTCAATTTCTTTTCCCTAGTTGCATATCTTATAGAATAATATGTGATACTAATGTGTACACTTTACTGTTCATCACTTGATTTGCAGCAAGATGTAACTCACTTCGACTATAACAATGAAAATTTGCAACCTCTTGTTTTCATCTCACATTGTATATTTATTGAATCAAATAGTTTACTTTGTTGTTTTTTATTAAACTGCATATTTAGCTTCAGTTGTGAACTAAGCTAAATTATTTTGCAAAATATATTTCTAACTAATGCATCCATCACCAAGTGTAGACACATATCCAATTGTAGATTTTCTCTTGTTTAGATCTTGTCTATGATCAACTTCAACGTAGTATGAAGTATTTGACATTTTCTTAATAAAAATTACACCATAATATTTAGTACACTTCATTTATTTGAGAATCTATTTCAATGTTTTTCAATGTCTTTTCCTAGAGTTGCATGTATCCACTCATCTTGTCCATGGTTAAAATAATATAAGGTCTTGTGTATAATATAAAATACATGAGGTCATCCACAGCTTTGTCATAGAAAATTGAGGATTTTTTTGTTTCATAAATAAATTTGTTAGATATTGATTTGCAAATTGATTGAGGTGTGTTGCCAAGGGTATCTATATTCTCTAAGAGTGTGTTATGTTAAAACTATTGAGCATACAATTGAATCAATATGTTTGATCCAATCATAGTTTCTCTTTTTCAAATCTCTATGTATGTACATCCTTATTATCATCTTGAAATTATTTAAATACTTCATTTTAAATGAAAACTTCAGCTAGGTTTTGCAATTGTTGAGTTTTGATTGATATTTTATCAAAATAAACATGTCATTCACATAAATTATATCATAATGAAATTAAAGATTTTGATATTCAACTTTTTCAGATTTTACATGGATTATACAAACTTTTTGAAAATCCTTGTGCTTTCATGAATTTATTAAATGTAGCATTTTATTTTCTAAACACTTGATCCTATCTATATGATATTTTTGGTAATCTAGAAATCAAATTTTCTTGCTATTTTAAAAAAAAAACCAATTTTGTGCCTCATGTAGATGTCTTGCTTCAAAGATCCATAAAATAATGTTAAACTTACATATTTGTGAATAATAACCAGATTAAACATTGCAGCAAATATGCACATATATATTAAACATGCACATATCAAATTGTAGCATACTTTGCTACGAGTAAAATTTGTTGTAATTCAAATTTTTTTCTTGTGTAAAACTTTTAGCTTGAAAGAATTCTTTTTCCATCATCTATTCGATTAAACAGAATCAAACCTCCGAATAGTGTCAACTTTTATTAATTTATTCGTGACATACTTCCGGTAGTGACATATAACTCAAGATTCATTAGATTTTAACTTGTAAATGTATCCAAGAAAAAAAATAATGTATCTCTTGGCAATAGTGACATGATACTATCTGATAGTGATGGTTGCAATTGTAATTTTCAAAAAATATCTGAATTTGATTCTTAATTGCTTTTACTCCAGCCGAACTTCCAACCTTTGATTTCGACTCTTGCTTGCCGCTAAAATGGTTTGGAATCACACCACGTACCATGCCTTGACTCTCCCTTGCTGCCCCAGGCCTTTCTTGCACTCGCTCGCCCGTGATGTTTGCGCTCCATGCTCATGCATGCTCTAGGAGGAACGCTAAAAAAACAAAAGTTATGTTTGTGTAACCTCTCTCTATTAAAATTTATTCATTCACATAATATCACAATTGTCCATTATTATTTGTGTTATGTTATTTTTTTTTGTTGTTTCAACCATTTTACATGTGATAAAAGACACAAATCACACTGCAAATTTCTTCAACTCTATGTGCTCACTTTCATCATTTATAAATCTGATTTACCTTGGAAATCTCAGCTCTGCTTGCTCATTTTCCAAAGTTTAGAACTTTTCTTTACGTCGGCGATCACGTATTAAACTTACTAAAGACAATCAATATTTGAATTCAAAGACAAGTCTTCGAGAATGATATTATCCGCCAAATGAGTTGCTAAATATTAGCGGATTTGCTAAACGTGCAATAAGAATGATTCTATATGATCCACTAAATGCTACCCAACCTCGTCTGAGTGACAACTCCCAATAATGACGTGAAAACCAAGCATCAATATGTGTCATTATTGGGAATTAAACTCTATAATTCATAAATTTTCAATCAAAGTTTGATTTTTTGAAAGTTTCATCATCTTTCAAATCTTATTATGCATTACCAATTACATCTCAAGTTTCATAATGCTATTTCAATCAAGAAAATCTACAAAGACTTGAAATTTTTTTATGAAAAACGTTTTTCTTTCTTTAATATCAACACAAAATCATCACCTTACTCAGCATGATGATATTAGATAGTAAGGTGATCTTCAAAGAATGTATTAATCAGACCTTAATCAAGACCTCATATGAATTCTATCATTCTAGATCAATCCTCTAGTATATCATGGGACTATCTTGTGCTGAAGTTACTTGAGGTTCACCAACAATAACTTATTACTCCAATTTCTCCTCTACAAGAAATTGTTCCTTATGTACTGGAGCTCCTTTTTGTATCACATTATTACATCCATATTGATCAATCTTCCGTTGATAGCAAGATTTGTCCTTGTCAATATGCAGATTTTAGAAAACCTTCTTAGCTTTTAATGAACTGGATTCATTCAAAAAGAACATCCACATTAACAACAACTTATATATTATTCAATTTCATAGTCTATAACGCTTGTCATCACTAGCATATTAAAAAAATAACACTTATTGGATGTAAGATTCAACAATATCTTTTTTTTACAAGAGTATAGTATTTAATCATACAACTAAAAAGTCTTAAACTACTTTAATCACTACTTTGTTTGTGTCTCATTCAAACTCTTTCAAGAAATTGATTGAATTTGAAGAAAAAATATATACCAAATACATTGTGGTATTGACAACTTCAGTTCAAAATTCATACGATATATCATATTAGCTTGATAAACTATTTTTTTCTAACTTTGTTTGTTTGAATCTTTTAGAAAAATCAAATTTGTAGATAGTAAACTTTGATGAGATGACAAATAATCCTCTTTTTTTTTGTGCACTCAGTTTGAAACTCCTCATAAGTATACTCTTTGTCATGATCTGTAGTTAGACTCTCATTTTTTGTCCAGTTTGAATTTTAGCTTACAATATCCAACTATATAGACGTCACATTTTGTGAGAATAAATGAATTTATACAAATATTGTGAAATCATCAACTTGATCTTTTTCATCATTAAGATGTTGTATAGACATTAGATTTTTTTCTAGTATAATAAATTCAAACAAAATTTGAAAAATCATCAATAAATATCACATAGTATAACTTTCTAAGTGGTGAGATTTTTGTGTACTATTATCACACATTACTATGTATAAACTCAACAGATAATTTTCTATGATGTTAATATATAACACATTATTCTCAAAAGTTAGATCAATTTTACTCATGATAAGTACAATTTACATCACCAAAGGATTGTTAAGTACATATCATTTACTCTAGCCTACAATGCCGTACATGAATAATCTAAACTTCAAGTTTATAAAATTTGAATTCATGAGAGATGATAATGTACTATAATATGTATAGATTGTTGTGCTTATGTACTCTTAATCGAATCGTACCATCCAATTTCATCTTAAACACTCTTCATAAGGTAAAAAAGTAATTGAGTTCTTAACTTAGTTTATTATTATTTTAAAATGAATTATTCATATGTTGTAATCAGTAATAGATTTTTAATACAAAAAGTTTATCTAAATTTTTTTATTAGCTGGATTAAATAAATTTTGAATGATAAGACAATTGT